CCCCTTTGCTCTCCGCCCGGCTTCTCTTGGCCAGATGGACGCCTCCTGGGCTGCCGGCTTTTCTTCTGCCCCTGGCCCTTTGTTATACACACCAGCCTGGCTTCTTGGCTTTAATTTTTCTAAGTGGGAGGTGTACATTTTTTTTCTTCTCTGGGTCAAAGGAAAGCTCAAGAGCTGACAGAAAAGGCAAGAAAGAACCTTGCTGCTGTCCCTGCAGCCACTCAGAAGGCCTGGGAACCAACACCCGCTGTAGGGCAGAAACGCCAGCCAGGTCAGTCGGTTTTGTTCCTTCTGTGTGGACAAGAAGGCACGTGTTCTAGGGGCAGTTGGAGGACACCTGGGCTGCGGGGTTAGTGTGGAGAGTAGCAAAGTAGAAGGTGAGGCAGGTTGGCTGAGGCCACACCACGGGGGAGTGGTTTTGAAACCTGGCTGAAGTGCGTTCAAGTCACTGAAATGGAGAGGAGGCAGGTTGGCTACAAGTGTTAGTGGACAGATTCAAAGCATTACAATTCAACTCGCCCTGCATGTTCCCCAACAATTCATAGTTGGTATTTAGGAGGATGCTGATATTTGTAAACACTTACTAGCATGCTTTAAAATGAAGGACACTAAGCCCTGACCAAAGAATTCATTTACAAATCGCTGCACAGCACGGTTTCGAATAATTGCATCCTGTCCCCAGGCGTCCTTTGAGGTCAGGGGTGGGACATGGCAGGACTGGGCTCCTGGACAAAGAATCAGAGCCCAAGAGCTGGTATTTCTCCACTTCTGAGCACTCTGAAGGTCAGAGAACACAGCTTTGCAAAGAAATAGCAGGAGCATGAAGATGGAGGGAGTTCCGTTTGTCTTCTTTTTTTCTTATTTTTTTAAATTTTTAATTTGTTTTGTTGTTTAGCTTCCTGTTAAAGGTGAGATCACATGTTATTTGTCTTTCAACACCTGGCTTATTTCACTCAGCATAATGCCTTCCAGTTCCATCCATGCTGTTGCAAAGGGTAGGAGCTCCTTCTTTCTCTTTCTGCTGCATAGAATTCCATTGTGTAAATGTACCATAGTTTTTGATCCATTCATTTAGTGATGGGCACCTAGGCTGCTTCCAACTCTTGGCTATTGTAAATTGTGCTGCTATGAACATTGGGGTGCATAGGTTCTTTTGGGTTGGTTTTTTAGAGTTCTTAGGATATAATCCCAGCAGTGGAATTGCTGGGTCAAAAGGCAGGTCCATTTTTAGTTTTCTGGGAAAATTCCATACTGTTTTCCACAGTGGTGGTACCAGTCTGCGTTATTCTTGTTATATTCTTGTCTTCATACTACGGGCCCACCATAAGCATCTCGTAATCCAGACTGGTAGAGCTTTTGGAGACAAGAAGGGCAAGTTATTGTTTTATTTGGGGGGAACAAAAAGATTAAAAATAAGTGTTTTAAAAAGTTTGAGAAACTGCTAGTATAGCTATATATGCATATGTTTTAAATTTCTGCTTAAATGGCAGGCCTTACAATCCTCGATACTTTTTATTTTTATAAGTTGTATTCCTTATAGAGACAACCTTTCTCCTATTATTTGTCTAGAAAACACTGATCAGTGATTGCCGAGTAGGGCTTTTAGAAGTGTAAGGGATACTTTGAATTTTAAATTGTATAGTAACGTAAGCTGTTGCTATTCAAAATTAAAAACCAAAATAGATGTTTTCAAGAACTTCTGATGAAGATTTGGAAAATACGTATGATTCCTTTAATGACTTTTTTTTTTGCTTTTTCTAAGGGAAGTAACCTCAGTTCCTATTAAATATTAATGCAAAATTTAGGATCTTTTTCCAAGAAAGGATTTTTTTTTCAAAATTTTTTGGCTCCCCTGAGGAAGACTTCTCTGCCAAACCCAACCCCACCCCCCATTCTGAACAGGGTGTCCCTCTCCCCCCCATGCCTCCCAGAAGTACCCTGGGCTTCCTTCACCCACGCGCATGTCACATGGGGGTGGCCCAGTTGTAACTGTTTGGCCTGGATGCTCCTCCTCCACCCCCCCTCGGCCCCACTCCCTGGAATTTCGGTTAGACATTGCATTTAGACCATTTTATTTTTCCTTTTTAAAAATTCTAAGGCTTGAGCTTTCAGAGAAATGGACAATTCATTGAGTAATTGATAATAACTCATGTGCACTAACTACAGTTTCTCTCACTTGAAAGTCCTCATCAGAATTTTTCTCAGTTTTTGTAACACTCTTACAAAAACAGAGCAGAAATATTAAGGATCTCATTGTTACGAGCTACATTAATTTTTAAAATCCTTCGTTTGCATATTCTAAACGTAAAATGTAGCGGCTCTGAATGGTGGTGAGGAAGAACCCGCACTGTGTTAACTGCTTTCTCAAAGCACACAATAGAAATGTTTTACTCAGACTTCCTGAAGCCAACAGGGACTTCCAAACCTCTCAGCCAACAGCAGCGTTTCAACAATCTGCCAGGCTGCTAAAAGTTCTGGTGATATAGTTTTCTGTATTTTAAGAAGTAACAAATCAGAACACACTTTTCAGAATTGACAATACGGTTACAAGAATGACCACTTTTAAAGAAACTCCTTGCCAGCAGGACCATAAATCGTAAGTACACTTGGTGTATTACCCATCTAAAATTGCTGGAACTTGGACTAAAAATGCATGGGAATTCTTGTTGAATTCCTTTCCTGCCACAGTTTGATGGAAGGAATTTTGCCTAGCACCGAAACAAAAGTGGTTTGATTTGAACAATTCCTGAAATTAGGTACCACTGGGGGAGGGTATTGGGTGGTGGATTGAGGGGGTACTTTGACCCTGTTTGGGAAGAGCATGGGGGCAAGAAACGGTGCTCTGGAGTGTTTCTCAATTCTCTGCTCTCCGACGAGAAGAGCTGTCTTGTAGTCAAACACGTCCCCTAGTTCATGGAGATACTTCTAGCATTTTTTATCGGAAATTGAACTACCAATCCAGAAATAAGTTTAAAAAATCACTGTGAGCGGTGGCTATTCGTCAGTAGAGGTGCGGGACCCTCCCGGTCACCTGGGTTCCACTGGTACCCTGGACTGGGCTCGAACTGGTGTGATGGGGCGTTGAAACCGGAATGCCGATCGTAGAGAATATTGTTTGCTCGTTTCCTTTTTTTTTTAAACAGTAGTGTTTGTCATTTTAGGCCTTGCAGTTTGTCACTGCAAGCTGGGTAGCACCGGGCAGGATCACCGAATCTTGCAGGATTCGATGGACAATAGGCAAAGATTGAGAGATTTAAACCTGAGTGATCTAGAAAGCCCGCTCGTCTAGAATATCCTGTTGCATGAAAACTGGTCTGTCAGATGCCACCGTGTTTTCTGACAGTTCAGAGAGCTTGACGTGGAAATTCGAATTGTAGTCTAGAAGCCACGCTGGCCCTTACTTGCCTGTAGCTTTCCCCAGCCTCTGGCACACGGGAAACACTCAGCAAACACTGGCCATTTTACTAGCATAGCGCTTATGTGGAGACGGGCGTGAAACCTCTGGGAAGGGCATCTCCTGACGTTTGGAATGGCACGTATAGGGTGACAGGTGCCAGCAGAGGACACTTCCTTCGGTAGCTGGTTGGGGAGAGGGAACAGGTTGTACCCTCTGGCATCTGGGGCGATTCATTAGCCAAAGATTGCTGAGGCCCCATGGGAGTGGGTGGCAGGCCACCAAGCCCTTGACCGTGTAAACAGGGTGCTGACTGAGCAGGTACTCGGCTGACAGAGGGCTGAGGGCTCTGCTTTCGTCTCCTCGGTCTCCTCGCTCCTTAACTTCCCCGCTTCTCCAGCGCTGGAGGCAAAAGCGGGACTCCATTCTTTTTGTTATTCTGCATCTGCGTGAATGAGACAGAGAGGCAGGCCTCGTGCCTCCCTGAACCTAAAGGGATTCGCGTGTTTCGCAGCGCCAACTGCCTTGACAAACCTTCCAGAAATTCTCTGTCAGCTGTATGTTTGCTGCGTGTCCTCAGGAAAGGTGCTTGTCTCTGTCTGAATTCCACATCGGAAATTTCGAAATAGTTTTCATTCTTAGCAGTACCAGTGTAACTTCCTGGAGAGAAAATAAAAAGGTTATCCCTACAGTGTTGTGACTTTGCAGAGGCCTCCATCGCATCTTTCATTTTCTCCTTTTTATGGATTTATGTTCACTTATCTGGAGGAAACTTCGGAGGAAGATATTCTACAGGCAGTTTGATTTGGAGAAAAGATAAGCTTTGGACCAAATGTAAATGAAATGTGTGTGAAATAAGCTTTTTTTGTTTTCCAGAAAAATAAAGGTTTTAGGTTTGAAGGTGAAGGTTTGTTGTTATTGTTTGTCTTTGTTTTTTATTAACTAAAGTGACCCTTTCAGATTATCTCATATTCCAATTTATACTTTTGATGTATTTTTTTGAGAAATTAATCTCCTAAATGTAAATAAAAAAACAAAAGGTCCCTGATTCCATGGTATTATATCCATATTTTCTCCCTCTTACGAAATTATTTAGCCATGCATGTAATTTGAAAGTATGTTTTTGAGCTTTAAAGTGGCAGAAATGTCACTGATGTTGAGTTTGCAGGTTGCCAAACCCAAAGGTCAGATTTACAGAACACACACACACAGTAGGACAGAGATCCAACTTCTGTGTGGTTTAGTCCCTTTTTCCCTGTCGGACTACAAAGTGCAGATGACTCACTATGATTCTGGCAACCGAGACCCGGGAGGAGACTTGGTTCCAACTAGGATGAGCTAACCTGCTGAGGATTTGCTGGAGCACCTGCCCCACCGGCTGCCACCACTCCTTTCCCTGTAAGATTTATTGACGGGGCCTGTGACACTGAGACAGAGAATCGAGTTTGAAAGGTCAGCCTTGACTGAGGGGGGAGGGGAAAAATTCATTTCTCTGCAGCTAACTGCTGCATCAAACTGCAGAGCCAAAGCAAAAATCCAGGGCTGACGTTTTGACAGCGATTTGCCGGTTGGAGAAGATTCCTCTGGTGAGTTGAAAGAAGTCTGCTCCGTGATGTTGTCATAGTGTCAGGGCTAGGGATTTACTTGAACTTGAATTCTGCACTGTCACCTTTGGGACCTGGGTTGAAGAAGACTGAGAAGGTTGCTGAGGAAGGAGCTTAGCTTTTTGGCGAGAATTAATAGGCACTCCGTCAAGGAGTTAGGTTTCCTGAAACTGTTTACATAGGAGAAGATGTACCTGTAGCGTCAGATTCCTTGGAATCCTTCAGAGATTTTCTCCTGCAGAGTCTATTCCAGAGCCCTTCCAGCCTGCCCTTGGCTAGTTACATTTTCAGATCTATGCTGAAGATGTGTAGATTTTTCTCCTCGGTAGAGAGCCCACTGCCTTAGCATTTAGTAAAATAGTTATTTATTGAAGAAAGGTTCATATCTGTTTCTGGTATCACCAGAGTCTCTTGTGACCTCATAGGAATGTTGACTAGAGTTTTATTTTCTAAAGCTAAGGCCGCTGGTATGCGTGTTACGTAGACCTCCGCATGTATGCACGTTTCATGTTAAACTCCAATCCTTGGTCGCAGTGGCAGTAGTGACAGTGCTCCTGGAACAGCGTTGTCTGTGCTCTCCAGACCAACAGAGTCACCTTAAAGGGCCTTGTGTGTTCTTCCGACAGAGTTGCCTGTCGGTAAGGAGGGGTATCACCGACACAGTTACCCATTGGTGAGAAGGGGTACCAGAACCCAGAGAGGACGGTGACTGCAGACCTGGGCCAAAAGGATGAGCATGAGGACAATTGTCTTCAGCAGTGAAGGGATCTTGCAGCAATGAGAATAAGGGTGTCGTCACCATTTTACATAGGGAGCATATCTTTTAAAAATGTTTTAAAGGAAGAGTTATATGAGTTTTAAAATATATAAATGTCAAATTATGTCATTCATATGAGACACGCATATCCTTTTTTCATTCTTCTCTTGCCATTATACTTTTATATATCAGTCTCTCTCTACACACACACACACACATACACACACACACACACTATTTTAGAAAAACACAGGATTTTTTTCTTTATTGAATGAACAGTGCATGATACAGCTGCTAGGCCTCAGTAAATGTTGGTTTAACAATGATTCATCACACCGACCCAATATGTTTTACATTGCCTTTCTTCCATCCCTTTATATTTCTCCAAAATTGATTTTGTGCCCTGGCTTTTGCAATCAGTATTTTATCAGCTTTGCTGATAAAATGCAACATCTCAGTTGCATGGTTGAGGATGTTTGTGGAAGACACTGCGTAGCCTGTCCATTCTGGGAAGTGTTCCTGACGTAGGCTTCTCTGTTACTCGGAAGCCACTGGGTGCTTGACACATGGCCATTTCACCTCATTTTCTGGGGGCGACATGGAAAAACTGAGCCTAACATACTTTCCAGAAGCAATCGGATCTTACCTGATTAAAGCCATACATTTCTCTCCAAGACAGTTCATCTCCCTCCACGAACTAGAGTGAGGAAAGTTCACGTTTGTATTATAAGGTGAGATGATAGTCATTGATCTTTTTGGTTAACTGTTAACAACCAAAGTTTATTTGTTAAAAATAGTGAAAGGTTTATTAGTTGGCTTGCTTATTCCCTTCCATTTTTCTGCTGTTTCTTTTTTGTGAGTTTTTAGAAAAAGAAATTTCACAAAGAACATCATGACTATAGTACTAGGAAAAGGATTTTAAAAAGACACCTCAGCCACAATGCCCTCGCACTCCAAAATTTCTTCTTAGTTGTCCTTGCTTTATTCCAGATCCCTTCTCTGAAATATCCAATCATTAGAGAATTTGTGTCTTTTTCATGAAAATTGAGGATACATTCTTCATCAGCAGTGTTTTATTTAATGACAAACATGTATGCCTCATTTGTTTACATATCAGTTGTTTACTAAAGTTGTGTAAACATGGTCCCAGTTTCATATGATCTTAAATCATTGCTAAATTCGGTCATTCGGTGAGTCTGCATTTCTGAGCATTTTCAGTTGGCAGTGGTTTCCAAATCCTGGTCTTTGCATTTCTCTGTATAAAAACATTTAAATGTGCCCTGGCTGGTGTAGCTCAGTGGTTTGAGCGCGGGCCTGCGAACCAGAATATCGTGGTTCTATTCCCAGTTAGGGCTCATGCCTAGGTTGCAGGCCAGTTCCCAGCAGGGGACACATGAGAGGGATTGATGTTTCTCTCCCACTCTCCTTCCCTTCCCCCCTAAAGATAAATAAATAAAATCTTTTTAAAAAGACATTTAAACGTTAGGGGAGATGAGCGTCTCTAAATACCTTCAATTCCACCCCACACACCTCAGTTAACCTCTCTGTGACTTTGGGTTTTCCCTTTTTGATTCTTCTTTAACTAGAACATTCTCCTCCTTTATCTTCCAGATGTGTTATATGAGAAATGGCTAACTAAGGGCTGGTTAGGGGTAGAAATTAATACACATTTGAATTGTAGAGGTATTGATACCTTTTGATTTCGAGAGCCAGAATATTGGCAACATCGGAGATGTTATTCATCTGTATTTCCAATTTTTTCACCAAGTATTTGTGAAGTGCCCGGCTTGGTGTTCTGTCTCATGGTGTGGAAAATACTGACATGTAAAACTTTAATGTTACTGTGAGGAACCTTGCACACTTGCTGTCTACTTCCATCATTCCATTTAAAAAGAACACATAAGCCCTGGCTGGTGTGGCTCAGTGGACTCAGTGCGGGCCTGCAAACCAAAGGGTCGCCAGCTGGGCTCCCAGTCAGGGCACATGTCTGGGTTGCAGTCCAGGTCCCCGGTAGTAGGTCTGTGAGAGGCAACCACACCTTGATGTTTCTCTTCCTCTCTCCCTCCCATCCCCTCTCTCTAGAAATAAATAAATAAAACCTTTCAAAAATAAATTGTTTTAAAAAGAACACATAATACTTGGCATGGACTTTGGGTTTATTCATTTGGACATTTCAAGTAAATGTAAATAAGCATGTGTGTTTTATTATAAATTCATACTTCAAGCATGGTCGAACAGCAGTCTGAGTTAGAAAAATCCAAGCATGTTTTGGGGGGAAATTTCTTTTCATTCTAAAAGTTTCAAATGGCTCCACATTAAAAAAAAAACCTGAGCAGAACGAAATGAAGAAAAGCTCACACATGTTTGCTTGCTACAGCTGTGAAATACAGAGTGGTGCAGTATTGGTCTGGTTTTGGAATAGCCAGACTGCAAATCCCCTAAAGCTGGAGACCATATCTATACACCACACCGTTCTAGACTTACTCTGAGCACAGTCCCTGGTGTGTAAAGATGCCTGAAAAATACAAGTTGAATGGATGAAGGGGAAAAAAAGAAAGAACTGAAAAGATGAGATCATTCACCCCCTTGCTTATAGCAAAGACAAATTAGCCATCTTTTGGAATATAGAAACATCAGCACATCTTTAACAATTGTAGCACAAAAAAATGAAAGCAGCAGATCTTTTTAATCGTTCAGGGCTCCTATTCCTTCATGCCCTAGTTCAGGCATTGTCGTGGTCTCTTATTAAAGGGCACGCGTGAGTGAACTCTTAAGAAATTCACAGCTTTGGCTAACGAAGCCCTCTGATTGCTCTGAGACACACCTCCAGCAACAAGTGAAAAAAAAAAATCCAGGTACCATAATAGCCCTGAGATGCTGGGCCACCCACTGGAGGGATGACGACTCTACATCAGCTTCTAAAGCCCTCCCTTCTTTCTCTCCCTCAGGTTGACCTTTTCACCATGATTCCCTGCAGAGCAGCGCTGACTTTCGCCCGGTGTCTGATCCGGAGGAAAATCGTCGTTCTGGACAGTCTCGAAGATTCCAAATTAAGCCGTTGCTTGTCCACCGTGGACCTCATTGCCCTGGGGGTTGGAAGCACTCTGGGTGCTGGGGTTTACGTCCTCGCCGGGGAGGTTGCCAAGTCCGATTCCGGCCCCAGCATCGTGCTGTCCTTCCTCATTGCCGCCCTGGCTTCGGTGATGGCAGGCCTTTGCTATGCTGAATTTGGGGCCCGAGTCCCCAAGACGGGCTCCGCGTATTTGTACACCTACGTTACCGTGGGAGAGCTGTGGGCCTTCATCACCGGCTGGAACCTCATTTTATCCTACGTGATCGGTAGGTTTCCCAAAATCAATCTAGTTGTGTGGAACGGGGGCAGAAGCCCCCGTTCAGGCAGAAGGGGGGGCAGTAGCACTTCTGAGTGCAAGGCCTTAGGGGCCCCTCCTAAGTTTGCTTTAGTTAGTGACGCTGTGACCTTGAGGGAATCGCATGGTCCCTGTGCCTCTCCTTTTTCTTACCTCTAAATGTCTCTCCTCAGTGCAAAATTGGGTGATTCTGCTTCATCTCTGAACGTGCCTCTTATTGGATTTAAAAACCTTTTAAAAAATAATTATAGTTCTTTAATGTGAATAAAGTGACCTGATGGTGATGGACTTGAGCATTTGATTGCTATTATATAATTATAAAATGATGAAGATAATTTTATATGGGATTAAAATGTTCCATTCTGCCTGAACTAACCCATGTTTATCCTAGAACAGAGTAGCAATTGATGTCATGTTAACTTTCTGCCAGTGACCTTGTATTTTCCGAATGTTCTGTGTTTTGGGAAGGTACATCGAGTGTTGCGAGAGCCTGGAGCGGCACCTTCGATGAACTTCTTAACAAACAGATCGGTCAGTTTTTCAGGACATACTTCAATATAAATTATACCGGCCTTGCAGAGTATCCCGACTTTTTTGCCGTGTGTCTCATATTACTTCTATCAGGTAAGAAAAGCGGTTACACTTCTCCCTCTGTCAAGCCAGACTAATTGTCTCAGTGAAATTGGGGCTTGAGTTCCCAAGACTGTGCAGCATCTTTATACACTCAGGTTATGATTGGAGATCAGTGGGCCAGACTAGAATCACGTTTTATCTTTGTCACATCAGGTACACTTCAATATTAAATCTAAATCAAAAGGAGTAGTAGACACAGCACTTTGGGGTTAATGGCATCTGGAATGGACTAAAAAACAGGATGAGGCACATCGATTTTATGATACTAATTAGGGATTTGCAGAAATGGCAGTGGAGTTTCGGTGAGGAAGAATGCATGATTTTTGGCCTTATATTAGATCAACTGAGGGTGCTGGCAGGCATACTCTTTCTAAAAGAAAGTCTCTGTTTCTATTTATTCCCTTAGCTAGATGATGTAGGCATCTGGTTGAAAAGGAAGCATATTCTAACCACGTGTTATTTTTTAATATAGACACTATATAAACAAACGTACTTGGTACTAGAATGTTTTCATTTTCATCAGCACTGTAGCATAGTGATTTAGAAAGGCACAGGATCAGAGTCAAACAAACCAGGTGTCTCGTCCTATGCGGCCACCTACTATCTTTGGAACATGGAGTGACCTCAGTTTTCCATGATTCAGTTTGCTCATGCATACATACCAGTGTCTATCTGGTGCAGGCTTCCTGCCTGGTACCTAGTAAACATGTAGATGGCAGGCTATTCTATTTTGCAGGCGTAGTTAACCCTTGCTGTCCCATTACGTTTTTTTTAACTATGTGAAGTTGTTCTGATTGTCATCCCTACCCACCTTCCTGCTTAAACCCACTAAGAACAGAGTCCGTGTTTATTCCCACTGCTGACTGGATATGTCCTGGGTAATCTGCTCCTCCTCCCCTGGCCAGCTGGTCTCTAGCTCCGTTCTCCCTTGGTTACAAAGAAGAGATCGAAACATCTTTCTATGACGAATGTTCACTGGTACAGTTACATAGTTTTTAAAATAGTTTTTCCTTTTTAAAAGTTGGTCATTAAATATTTTATAAAGAGACAGGGTCAGGGATGTGAACAGAATTTATAGATCAGAAATATTTGGCGTTGAGCTCTAATATCAAGAAAAATCGCCTCAGTTGTTTTCAACAGGTGTTTGTTTTGGTTTCGAAACAGCTTGGCGAACATTAAATTTGTTAGATCAGATTTTATTTAGGAACGGTTTCAGTGAAGCTAAAATATCCAGCTGCAAGCTCCAAACACTGAGAAGCACGTGGCCATGACACAGAATCACTGAACTCCGTGACGAGACATGGCCTTGCCTCGCACCGCTGGTCCTGTCTTCATCGACCATCAGGTCTTTACTTTAAGTCGAGGCTAAGCTTGCACGCTGACATTGTTCTCGGACCATTTGAAGATAAAACCTCCCATTACAAATCTTTATTCACAGTGTAATGCCAAGTATCATGGCAAGTGAAGCGGTGTGTCTTAACGGCCCCCGGGAAGTGTATATGCCATATTTGGATGAGATACTCATGGGTCTCTAATTAACCTGCTGGCTGGAGATGGGGGTCTCGGAAGAGAGAGTACACGTGAGAAGTTGGGAGGCTTTTCTAGAGCGTGACAGTGGCTTGGCTGCTTTCCAATGCGTGTGGCAGTGTGCAGTGTGTATTTCCCAGCTGTGTAGTGGTTTCCAGTCTGACAGATAGTTACAGAGTCAGAGTTGTACTACTGCACAATTGCCCTCAAATTGTTCACACAGATATATTGCTGTGAGTTCTGGGAGTTACACGGGTGGAAGAATGAGATTTGGCTTCTCCCAGCTCTACCTGGGGAGCTGTGCTGACTCGGTCACAGGTGTGTAGGTGACAGAACAGCGAGCGAACATGTGACGTGACCCTTCTTCCATCACAGTCCTTCCCCCAGAAGCAAAAAGTAAATGTTGTTCGGTCTGTAATTCGGGTCTTACGCAGGATGGATTAAGTACATAAATATGATAAGTATAATCATAAAAGTACTAACAGAACAGAAAAGTGAATGTTTGGGGTTAATATTTAGGGAAATTCTAAAGGTAGAAACTAAAAGAGGAAACATTTATATTCTAAAACATCTTTTATAGATAGCCAACAATAATATTAAAGCAAATGGTAAACTGGGAAAAACATGAATAATACATGATAGGCAGAGATCTTACGGCATTATCATTAAATTAATACATCTTATAAATCAACATGAACAAGAACAGCCTAACAAAAAAAAAGGGCAATTTACAGTGGGCCAGACATTATGGGGAATATTTTGATAATATTAACCAAGAGCCTCGTATAAAAGCACATAGCCTCGATACAGTATTAACTTAGAGAAAATGACTGTAAAGGAGTCATTAGAAAGTATGAAATGGTATTGATAAAGGGATGATTATGTCAGTACTGTCTGTAGTTTTAAGAAACTAAAGTGCGCTGATTGTCTCTACATAAGAGACCAAAGTGCAGTGTCTCCGTTGAGGGCAGGGCGTGTGGCTGTTAAAATGCGGCTGTGTGTCTGTTGACTTGGCAGTGTGTTTGTGTGCGTGTGTACACACGTGTGCAAGTGCAAGATTCCGGACCGGAGGTTACACTTGATTTTATTTCCTTTATATGAAAGTTCTGTCTCTTCGAATTACTTGAATAGGAAACTGACTACGTTTACAATCAATTCAAATATAAAATAAAACTATTAAAATGAGAATTGAGCCCTGGCTGGTGTAGCTCAGTGGATTGAGTGCAGGCCTGTGAACCAAAGGATCACGGATTCCCGGTCAGGGCACATGCCTGGGTTGCGGGCCAGTTTGCAGCAGGGGACACATGAGAGGCAACCATACATTGATATTTCTCTCCCTCTCTCCTTCCCTTCCCCTCTAAAGATAAATAAATAAAATTTTTAAATAAAATAAAATAAAACAAGAATTGATTTAACTAAATATCTACTTGGCACGACAGTTGAATTATTTTGTTTGTGTATGCAGTAAACATGAGACAGACATATGACTGAGCTTTCATTTTCAAAATTTTCAGCCATGAACTTTGAAATGACTTTGCAGCAGCCTTTCATTAAAATTAAGTTACTTTACCTCTCTCTACCCATTGGTGATAACAGAGGAGGTTACTCGATTTCCCTGTGTCTTAAATGCTGTGAGCATAGTCTGCCTTCTGAAATCGGGCGGTTGTATTCAGAAAATACTATTTCTCCGGCAAGTGAGTAAGAACTCACAATAGACAGGGATAAATGTGACTTAAATATACGAATGCTGGTGAAATAATATTCTAACGCCTGTAACTGCCTCACAATGCCATTGCCTTTCCTAACACTTAGGTAAAACTTAAACTGCCCTTTCTTTTCCCACAGGTCTCCTATCGTTCGGAGTGAAAGAGTCCGCCTGGGTAAATAAAATCTTCACAGCGGTCAACATCCTGGTCCTCCTCTTTGTCATGGTGGCTGGGTTTGTGAAAGGGAATGTGGCCAACTGGAAGATTAGTGAGGAGTTTCTCAAAAATATATCCGTAAACGCCAGGTAGAGTACTTGATTTGGGGTCCTTCCCCTCTCATTTTTAATTTTTCCTCACTTGTGTCTTATGTTACATTTTCCTCTTGAACTGTGGTTCTCAGACTTTTTGCTCCCTCGACATTTCTGAAGTCCCTTCTGTTCCAAGACTCTTCTCCCCGGGCTCCCCCCAGACATAAACGCATAAGCATTCTCACTGCCGAGCAGGTGATGGAAGCCAACCGCTGGTTCTCCGCCTCAAGCTCTGCTCCAGGTTTAGAGGAGGCACAGGGGAGATTCTAACCATTGAAAATGGCTTTCTTTTCCCCAAAGGTTTGCCGCCTTCACGTACCAATGAGTATTTTTGAATAATGCACCCTTTAGTTCTCCCTTTGGGACCAGCATGCATTGCATTTTTTCAGCCCTGTAGTAATTTCCAGGCCTCGTTGTTTTTTTTTGGAGAATATTATTGGTTGCATAAGCAGACCTGTCCTGGCATTTCACTTTAAACTTGATAGCCTCATTAAAGACGCGGGAGAACAGGGGTTGATTCTGAGAATACCCGTGGTGTGCTCCCAAGAAAAAGGGGTTAAAAATTAAATTAATGATAATATAGGAAAGGTTTCACCCTATGATTTATTTGATCATAATGCTCATGTGCTTGTAAAATAAGATTACAAAAATATCTATTATATGGAGTGAGGATTATCTACATGTTTTTCTTTATATGAGTTGTTTGTAGTCATTCCAAGGAGGCAAAAAATTAGTATCCTCTGGTTTTTTACAGTTTTTTTGCAGGTAATAAAATATTCAACTTCAGTAGTATTAATCAAGCCGAGAGAATTGTATCTCTGCTTTTCAAATGTCTTTGTTGGGAATGTTTAAACATGCAGCCTGTGCAGCTGCCCATGACAAGAGCTAGTTGCTGGTCTTGGTGTCAGGTCATGGCTCACAGATGGTCGCTGCTCTCAAAGCCCCGCCTTGCTGTGCATCCAGGCCGGGGTGGGCTCGGGCCTGCATCCAAGATCGGTGTCCGAAACCCCGAGTGGGTGCCGTTGTCGGGGACACCACTGTATTCTCCAGGACAGAGGACGAGGATCAGGGTTCACTCTTAGTTCTGTATGTGTCGGCTTCAAAGAGCTGAGACTGCAACAGCCCTCTGCGGATGTCGTTTCGGACATGGCCGGAAGACACAGTTTTCTCTAAAGATGACTTTCCGACATTTGTGCTTTTCCTCAGAGAGCCGCCTACTGAAAATGGAACAAGTGTCTATGGGGCTGGTGGCTTCATGCCTTATGGCTTTGCGGGGACTTTGGCCGGGGCTGCAACCTGCTTCTATGCCTTCGTGGGATTTGACTGCATTGCCACCACCGGTAGGAGCAGAGTCCGGGCTCAGGGCAGGGGGGAAGGGCCCTCTTTGTGCCACACAAGCGCCCATGGGTGGCAGCAGAGGGTCAGGACCGAAAACAGGATTTGGACCTGGTGCCGGGCCCAGGCGTGACACCAGATGTATGTGATTAAAAGAAGCTGAGTGACACCCACTCAGCCTTGATTTGCATGTTGGTAAAACTGGGAGGGTGAGACCTACCCTTCAGAAGTCATGAGTTACCTAAGGCACATGTGTACATGTGAAAAGTAACTTTGAAAGAACACACAGGAACAATACTCTGCAAGCTGTCAAATACTTTGTAAGCATTAGTCGTAATCAGTACCCTCAACTTTCTGTCTGGACCGGCCGTCACAGTGAGTAATAATGATGGCCATGCTCGTAAATGATCTCTTCTTTATTAGAACAGGGTATTGTGAGAATTCTCTTTTCTTTCTTTCATACAAGAGAGAAATTATGCCAGAATCATTTCTAAGTGTCTATGCTGGATTCATATTTTTCGCCTGGCCTAATGATTAATTTTGGATGCTTCAAATGCCAAATCTTATTAGAAGGATCCAAAGTATACTGTTTTCTACTGAAACTAGAGTTTAATGTATATAAATATATGGATTGGGTAGCTGTTTATCTGAAGTCTTCATACTGAGGGGTGCGCAGAAGGAATCCTGTGACAGTCATTCAGTCTCTGGGGACGAATCACTTCCAAGATGGATTAAGAGCACTTTTCTACCACTAAACATTTACTAATCCTAGAAGAGCATGTTTTATTTTTCTTCCTGGCTTTGGATTTCTATGTAATAGCAAAGTATGCACAAGAAGAGAGGACATTTCATGCAGAATAGATGGATCAAGCTAAGAAAACAGAAGTGTTGGGAGCAGAGTAGAATTACCATGGAGGAGACAGAGAATTCACAATTTACCTATTGATGTTTTATTCTGCATGCCACCTTTTGTGTTTCCATAGGTGAAGAAGTCCGGAATCCTCAGAAAGCTATTCCTATTGGAATTGTGACTTCGTTGCTTGTTTGCTTTATGGCCTATTTTGGGGTCTCGGCAGCTTTAACACTTATGATGCCGTACTACCTCCTGGATGAGAAGAGCCCCCTCCCCGTAGCGTTTGAGTATGTCGGCTGGGGTCCTGCCAAGTATGTCGTGGCCGCCGGCTCCCTCTGTGCTCTGTCCGCGAGGTACGTTCCATTGCCTCTGGGACTGAGTCTGTTTGGGTTACTGCGAAGTGAGGTCACTGTCTAAGGAATTCCTCTCGTGTATTTTAAAAATAATCCTAATATCAGGAACACATGGTGCAGCTTTGTATTCTCTGAATAGTTTGCCCAGAATTGCCCTTAATCTTAAATGATAAAGTCCTTTTCCCCCATCAGTCGAGAGTCAGTATTTCAAGAGAATGGCGGTCCAAGCTGCAGTGGGAATACGTACAACAGAGGGGCAGGCATCCCTGTATACACACACATGTCACACGTATTCATATATGTATGCATTATGCTGGCATGTTCACGCGAGTGTGTTTCCCTGCTGGCTCTGGGATCACTCGCGGTGCTTCAGACGATGGGGACCCTAGGTGCAGACTGGACATTTTCTGTTGTCTTTTAAAGCCTTATCAAGCCCGTGTGTGTGGAAACTCTATGCTGTGTGACAAGGTGAACTCCAATGAGCTTCTCTTGTGAAACACTGAGACTATTTCACATAGCGTTGATCAGAGTGAATTTGGTCTAGACACAGAAATTACCATTCTCAAATTAACGCTGGAAATTTATATAATATCTATGTGAAAAGTAAAGAGTAGTTAAAACTCACGTGTTTGGATTTTCAGTAGGTGCTTGCTTTAATCCTTCAGAATTCATTCCTCGGTTTTCCTGAGCTACTCATATTTTAAATTAACAAGTGATCATAAGACATTTCATTTTAGTTTTATATGTTGCTATACAGTAGAGCATTCTTACAAAGAAAAAAATAATCTCTGATTACAGATTTTTTAAGTGAAAATAATTTTCTATAAGCCTGATGTCGGAAAAAGGTATCTTTTTATATAATCCATCAGCCTGGCTTTTTTCCCCCAAATCTACTTCGTCTTCTCTTCAAGATAATAGGAAGTAACAACGAGAAATTCTTTTCATTGGTTTCTCAGCCACCTGCTAATGATAAGGTTTATTCTGAATACTTTCAAAAACCTGCAGTGTGACCACACCTTATCACCACGATCTTAAAAGAGACAGATACAGATTCATCTGTGGCCATCCTCAGCCCAGCTTTATTAAAAGATAAAGAAGATGGATTTTTTTCATAAAATATTTTGTTTATTTTCTCTTAAATGGTTATTGTTCATAATGAAATAATATATGGAATGGTGCCATTCCATAAACAGACAAGTTTTTCAAAATGTCTAAAGTTTTCTTAAACTGTTAATCATGGCTGTATCTATGTAGTAATTTCATAGTGAGTTGATTTTTTTAACCTTTTTGTATATCAATTATCTTGTGATGCTGGGAATTATTACTAATTTGATCAAAGATCAGGCTATATGAGGAAAAATAATGGTAAGCTAAATATTACAAATACATAATTATTAAATAAGTGAAGGGCTATTCAGTGAAATCAAATTACTTAATCTTTTTTTTAATTATAATATATATCTGTTTAGGAATTTCATTTTCTGAGTTATTGCCACTATAAAAATCTTAATGGTATGATTGCTTTCGGGGTTTTTTTTGTTGTTGTCTTAATTATTTAGATTTAATTCAGTAATAATCACAAGCATGCACAAATCACCTGCATTATTGTTTTTGGTCTGATAATTGTACTGGGCAGATATCTGCAACAGAATAATAAGTAGCACAGTGGTAAACATGTGCAAATACTTTTAAATGTCCAATCATAATGTTTTGAAAATATGTAATCCTAGCTGCAGTGCTGAGATTTTTACAGTTACTTAATTTCAGTTCTGGGACATAATTTTGCATGGATGTCTGCCATACTGCATGTGTTTGCTTTTTATCCAGTCTTCTTGGATGCATTTTCCCAATGCCGCGTGTAATCTATGCTATGGCCGAGGATGGGTTGCTTTTCAAATGTCTAGCTCAAATCAATTCCAAAACGAAGACACCAATAATCGCTACTTTATCATCGGGTGCAGTGGCAGGTGAGAGAAAGTTAACTTCTATAAAGAAAAGGGGGGTCTTTTTTCATCAAGGATTCCGAAAAATACGAAAGCTAGGTGGTTTTCTGTTTCAGTTCATGTGAAGATCAATAACTTGTTTTGTGAATGTTTCCTATTTTGAACAGTTTGGACGTAGGTTCGTTCTGTGCTTGAGTGTGTCCAGTCTGTACCTGCATCTACCTGTCTAGAGTGATGCTTGTGATAACTCACGTGGATTCTGAATTTTTCTATTCTAGCCTTCTGGGCTCTATGTTTCCTTTACCCCGGATCCTGTTTGCCATGGCCCGGGATGGCTTACTGTTTAGATTTCTTGCCAGAGTGAGTAAGAGGCAGTCACCAGTTGCTGCCACACTGACTGCAGGGGTCATTTCTGGTAAGCTTTCCAAATGTGGGCTTCTCGGTGTTGGACTTGAACGTTTTATGCGCACGCATGGACTTACAGAGAGGGCCTGCTTGCTGTGCATGTAAGTTAAGAACAAAATTACTGGTAAATTAGGGTGCGATCGTTGGGATGACACCTGAAAATCACGGTGGCAGTGCTTTACCGAAGTGCATTCTTAACTGACCCTGGGGGATGTTTTGCCATTTTGTTATTTTAACCTTTGGGGCTTCTCACAAATGTGCAATGAGCTGTAATGGCTGTTCCCTATGTGTCAGTTATTACATTCTTTTCCGATTGATTAACTAGCACATAAAATTGTATTGTCAATGCATAAAATTTTAATTCAAGAATGATTACTTAATTTGGGGCATATTAATTGAGAATAATGATTGATTTTTTTTGTTAAGGATTTAAGCTGAATATTGCTAAAGGACCATAGGGTTTTTGAAAAGCTAACGTTTCCCCATGCTTAACTAAGCGTAAGAACTGGCAAAGACAGTTTGCACTTGGCTGTTGCAGTCCTGGCAGTTAGGGGGATGGACATCCCCACTTCCTGGGCTGCCAGGGGCTCCCCAGAGCTACTCACACCTTGTGAACATCGTCAGGAACCTGTTTTTCCCTTCACCAGTTTTGTTACTCAGAGACTCCAGAAGCTACCTTTTGACATATCACGATATCAACGTCCAGTGCCTTTGGCCAGACTTTTTGGCAGAAATTTTCATATATTTTATAGACCAAGAGAATGGCCCTAAAGGTCCTATTACAGGAAGCAAGATAGAGGCTCTAGCAAGCTTCATAAAATGGTAAACTATTTTAAAAAAGATAAACTATCTTGGCGTAGCAGAAATTCAAACCAAAAAATGGTAATTTTGTTGAGGTTCTAAATTGTTGGCAAGATAGGTTAGAGAATCCTAGTATCTAATTATGTGTGAAATGGGATTTATTTTTTAGAGTCAGAGGGTATCTAACAGCTTCACTTTGTAAATATTTTCTAATAAATGTGGCACTTCGTTACGCAGACATTGGAAGCTCACGTCCCTTTGTTGGTGCTTGGATAGCTGCACCCATGAATGAAAGTTGTAGTAGATAATCTAAAGCCCATTTTAGTGTTAATAGTGCCTTGGGATATTAGCGTGTAGAATCATGACAAAGGATCACTCATTTTATTAACTTCATAAACAGTTTTATTGTTCCTAGCAGAACATTGCCTGGTAGTATTTAGAATTTTATGTATTATAGCTCTGTATATTCAGAATGAAGAGAATCTGTCCTTCTTTCAGGAAGAATTTAATTTGACAGCCTAATAAGATATTAAAATTAATAATTAACAAAAGATCATTCTAACAGAAGGCTTTTTTTAATGCTCTAATAACATTTTGTTATTTTGTACTCCTATACCTTTGTGTTTTAACTAGATGAGATTGCCTGTATAGATAATTAATCATGTCCTTCTGTCTTGGCTACCTCATCTGAGCTAGCCGTGATTCTTAAAAAACATTCGGAAATGTTCACGACCTCACTGTGGTTGTTATAAGTGTTCCAGCCACGGAGAGTTTTCAAAGCAAGGCCTGAGCTGCACTTAAAGAAACTGTGTTGTTGTAGGAGGTGCCTGGAGATGCCTATGGGGTGGAACCTTGCTTTCCACGTCCTAGTTTTAACGTGTCTATAAAACAGGGATAATAATCCTATTGTTATAAGGATTATAACCCAGAAAAGCACATAAAATTGCTGGGTTTTAGGTAAAAAACAAAACAGTCAAATACTGGCCATTTTGTGTAGCTGAACCTAAATAATTTTCCTGTCTCCCAGGCTTATTAAATTGAAAAACAAAGGAGACAGAAAGCTTGCAGCAAGTTCTAGAACCCCATGTGAATGGAATATAGTTTCTGCTTACTCAGTTGGGGAGAGCTGTGTGGTACATTCAAGGTAGTGTTAGCACTATTTTGATGTTTCAATGGAGAGAAATATTGCTAAGTGCCAGTTAGCTATTCTGCTGTGTGAAGACTATTTTGCCTGTTAACCTCCTGGGATCTGTGTGCAGGACCGTAGAGTGAGCTCTCACGTCTAGTCAGTCTGACCGGAGTGAGTGGTTTTAACCAGAGTAAAATTTAGCCTATGTAAGAAACATAATTTAATTGGAAATTATTTTATTTTGTATATACCTCAAAATGCGAATGGAAATCAATATGATTAAATACCATTTTATTGAGGGCTCCTTTATTTGAAGTTTTTTATGATCTTAAACAAGGACCTAGCCAATATTTCTCAGCACTGTTTTTCTTCCGAAACATCAAAAGAGAGTAGTAATATTTTCAATTTTTGCCAAGCTAATACTTCTTTAGGTAATCAAGTAGGTGGTTTTTAGTAATTAAAGCAGTAGTTACCAATCTGATAACTGAGGGGCTCTCAAGTTTTGCTAGCAGTTTGTACAATCTAAAGAACATCTTCTTAATTCTGAGAAATATAGTCTCCTGTACTCGAACTGAAACAAAACAAAAACAAACCAAAAGTCAGTCAGTGGTCCCCGCCTGGAACGTTATCAGCCGTTCGGAACTGAGTCGCAGGCCGTTTTCTTCACCGTCCTTTTGTTTCCCCGCAGCGGTGATGGCGTTTCTCTTTGACCTGAAGGCCCTCGTGGATATGATGTCCATCGGCACGCTGCTGGCCTACTCTCTGGTGGCCGCCTGTGTTCTCATCCTCAGGTGTGTTGCCTCTCAGAGAGATGGCTCTGCAGGGCGGGTGTCCGGTTGCTGCCCAGGGAGTAAAGCGAGGGCCGCCGTCCGTGCTGTCTGGGCGCCAGCAGTCTCTGAGCTGAGAGGTCGTGGGTGCAGAAACATCTGTAGAAAGCACAGATCTGTGCTTGGTCCTTAGCAAAGAATCAAATGCAATAGGTAATGAGCAAGAGGATGGCCCAATTCTCTTGAAGGGCAGGTTCTCGTAATATGTAAAGACACTTAAAAAGACTATACTTTTTGTCCCAGGAATTCAGCTGCTAAGACTTTATACTAAAGACTTAATCATGGGGGCACACCCAGATGGAAGTAAAGGACGTTCATGGAGAAGATAATTGACATTAGTGAAAATTTGAACTAGCCTGGATGGCAATGAGAATGGTTAAATCAATGAGGGTACAGTTATTTAGTGGACTGTTCTACAAATAAAATGATACTTAATTATTTGGAGAAATGTGTCAGTTTTAGGATGTAAAAGTCTATGTAGCATCTGAATTTATTTAAATACACTAAAGTTACATAAAGAAATCATTTTTCCTTCTATATAAACATATATGCACTCATGCCTGGCTGATATTGTGCCAAAATACTAGCATGATTAACATTGGGCAGTGTTTTTAATTTTCTTCTGTGTACTTTTAGGTATTTTTTTCCCAGTGAACATATTTCTTCTTTAGACAGAGGACAGATACTACTTTTTTTTTAATTTTCAATTATAGTTTACATTCAGTATTATTTTGTATTAGTTTCAGGTGTACAGCATAGTGGTTAGATAATCATACACTTTACAGCGTGTTTCCCCTGATATTTCCAGTACCCAACCGGCTCACCAAACACAGTTCTTATGTTACTGACTATATTTCCTATATTGTACTTTACATCCTCATGACTATTTTGTAACTACCAATCTGTACTGCTCAATCCCTTCACCTTTTCCTCCAAACTCCTAGGCCCCCTCCCCTCTGACAACCATCACTCTGTTCCTTGTAACTATGAGTCTGTTTCTATTTTGTTCTTTTGTTTATATCGTTCTTTAGATTTCACATAGAGAGAAACCTCAAGGTTCTACCAAAAGTCTATGAGAACTGATAAATTCAGTAAAGTAGCAGGACACAAAATAAATACTCAGAAATCAGTTGCATTTTTATATACTAATAATGAACTGTGAGAAAGGGAAACTAAGAAAACAATCCCACTTACAATTGCATCAAAAAAAATTTAAATACCTAGGAATAAATTTAACCAAGTAGGTAGAACCTGCACTCAGAAAATCGTAAGACACTGAAGAAAGAAATCAAAGAAGATACTAGTGAATGGGAGTGTGTAGCATGTTCATAGATAGGAAGAACGAGCATCCTTGTAAATGTGGGTGGAGGCTGAGCAGAGGGACGAGGCCGCACTGGGGAGCCTGGGGCGGACACCAGGAGGGGAGGCAGGCTGATGTGCGGACACAGGCTGCGGAGGGTGGGGAGAAGTAATGAAGGAGAACGGCATGTGCAGGGGGCGGAGGTGGCCGGATGGCTGGGTGAGCTAGTTGGGCTGAAACCAGAGGACTCAGGTGGGCAAGTTGAAGGAGGTGAGACCAGACAGGTTAGGTTGTGATGAGGCCTTTGAATACCAAACCGAAGAGCCTGTTAGTTTGTCACTGGCACTTAACCAGAGTTTCTGGGCTGTTTTGGGGAACATTTCCTTGGGACATAGATATGTTTAGAGCAATCATCCTGTTATTGCAGTTGCCTCACTTTAAAACCTGACTCTCTCCTGCGTGGCATATATAATGTTTCTAATGAAACGGCCACCAGAGAGAACTCAGAGTTGCTGCAGACTTCCTGTCTAGCAGGGCAGTGGTCAGGCTCGCACGATTTGGGGCTGGACCCACGAGGAGCGTCAGCTTATTGCCCGAGCCATGACACTGTGAGAGGTCTCACCAAGAGTTTCAGGAGTTTGTTACATTGGGGCCAAGTGTCTCTTTGAGAATCAAGACACCAGCCTTTATTTGGGGACAGGTACCAGCCTGGCTTATCGTACGAGCAGCCCAAATACGCTCCCGAGAAAGAGGCTCTGCAGCCGTGTGCCAGTGCGGAATCAGAAAGCGCGTCCCAGGTCACCATGCTGCAGGGACCGGGTTCCAGCCTGTCCACCCTCTTCAGCCCCTCGGCTCTGCCCACACAGCAGTCGGCTTCTCTGGTGAGCGTCCTGGTGGTACTCCTCGGTAAGTCCTCATCCCTGCGGGGTTTCAAAGCCCCGGCGGGCGTGTGTGTGGGTGGAGCGGGTGGGATGTGAGACAGGGCGAAAGGCCTCGGGTCACCCTGGAGTAGGTTAGTGACTGCCTGGGGCCCTGAAGGGTCCACCTAGTGGGCCACTAGACTTTTATATTATCAGGATAAGTGTATCATGTCTTGGTAAATGAAGAAGACAGAGAAATTCACAAGGTGAGAGTGTTCGGAGTAGATAGTTGGTGCATTTCATTAGCTATTAGGGAGCTCCCTGTGTAAAAGCGTCCAGCCAAGTACACCTGCCGATCACGGAACTGGGACCCCAGGAGGCTGGGAGACAATATAGACAATGCTGTCTGCTTAGCCACAGTTTCGTCATCTCTCATATTCTCAGAGGCATTTATTGAGCATCACCCGTGTGCCAGGAACTCTGCTGGCACTTTGAATATCAAGAGAGCTGGCCCTTGCACTCCCTGGGCTTTGTGATACAGGATGATTGGTGGGGAAGTGCGGATTTCTCTGAGAGCACAGTAGTGGGGCCCCTAATACAGCCCTGACGGTTAGAGGTAGGGTCAGTGGGTGGCAATGTCCCTCTCAGAAACAGGGAGAAGAGATGCAGGTCATTTTATTTGTTTACAATGGCTGAACGTGGACAGGTTGGCCATTCCCTGTTTGAGAAAAGGGGAATGCCAACCCCTGACAGTGGCCCGTCACTCCATGTGCTACAGTCTGAGACAGGAGCGGATGAGGACCCAGGTGGCACGTGGGCAGGGAGAGCCAGAGGGTCGTGCCCGAGGGGAGGTTGACTTCCTGAGAAGAGACAGTCATGCGTAAGCAAGTGGCATTTCCTAAGTCAGTGCCATCAGCCACGCCTGCCCATCCTGAGAACGAAGACTCTGAGTGTCTGGCAAAGTGGACATGCAAAGGACTTGATGTCTTACCGCAACCGACCATGGGGACCAAGGCACCTGAGCGAAGCGTGCGTGCTGATTTCGTGTCGCATGTGTATCTCCTCTGCAGCATCTCTCGTTCTGGGCCTGAGTATTCTGACCACCTACGGAGTCCAGGCCATTGCCGCGCTGGAGGCGTGGAGCCTGGCCCTCCTGGTGCTGTTCGTGCTTCTCTTCATCGCCGTCATCCTCACCATTTGGAGGCAGCCCCAGAATCAGCATAAAGTCTCCTTCATGGTTTGTGTCCCGAGGGTTAGGGATGCTAAATATGGGGCACATGTTTTCTCGGATGTTAGTTTTTATGGGGTTTTTAAAGCATTTCTGAAGTTAACCAACGAACAAGAGCATCACACTTCTTTGAGATGTTCCTTTTTGTCGCAAATTCTCTCCCTTTTCAAAAACTTGAGGATGCTCCTAAAACAGGATTATATGTAATAGCACACACATTTCTTGTCAAAGAATCTGTAACAGCAAAGGCATCATTGGAATATTATATTTTAGAAAGTCAGGACCCTCTCAGGAAGGTTATTCTCACCAAAAGCCCTTCCACTGCACAAAAATATTGACCTGTCACATTAGAACTCAGAGCAGGTTTCAGCTGGGAGAGAGCTTTCTAGAAGCATCCCCCGAGATGCCACATGTATCCGGAGACACAGAGTCATGGCCGGTGGATGCCCGAACTACACCTGTGAACCTGAACTAAACTAACTGTTAAGGCCAGTTGCTTCTTGGTGATAATGCAGGTGTTCGCAGGCCACATAAATCCTCTGTTGTTTTGGGCCACAGTAAATAATGTAAAACATGATGCTCCCCTTAGTATTCTATAGGAGAGTGGCTTTTGTTCAGGCTGTCCTTTGCGTAAGACTATAAACTTACAGACACAGAATGAAAATGGATAGTGTGTCAAATTACCACCACATCAAATGATTTGGGGAGTGTCCTTTCAAATTCTGAGTATGTTTAAGAAGCTCCTTTCCCCCTCAGGTTCCATTCTTACCATTCCTGCCAGCATTCAGCATCCTGGTGAACATTTACCTGATGGTCCAGCTGAGTGCCGTGACTTGGATCCGATTTAGCATTTGGATGGCGCTCGGTAGGTCTTTCAGTATTTTCACTCTCTCAACTTTGGCTCTCTCTGATTTCATGCACTGTGATGGAAGAAGTGCAACCCTTCCCACTTCCCAGAAATAAAGTTGTTGTTTTTTTTCCACGTCCTCCTTTTCCAAGTTTGAGAGCATCTGCGTGCCTACTTTTCCGCATGTTTTTGGAGCCTTTTTAAAATCCAGATATCTCAGTAACTCTGCGGAACCGTGTAGGTTCAATTTTCTCCAACTTGGTGGGTGAGAAAGTGAAGCCCCAAAATGTCGAAGGATCTCACTGACAAATGGCCCAAGTCTCTGATCCCAAAGCTCTCTCTTTCCAGTGTGCCGGTGGGTTTTTGGAGACATTTTGAAGGAGATAATAGCAAACAAAAACAAAACGTAAAAAACCTCTATTCTAATACTAAATTTGTTATTATTATTAGAGCCTCGGAGGGAATTTAACATTCACATGAGTAAGTTATTTGTATCTACACCACCTTGTTCTTCATTTGACTTCTTCATTGTCCTCTGTGAAACCGAGTTAGAGATGAAGAGTTTGAGTGAGTCGTAGCTCACGCACTGAGCACCAAGTGCCTTAAAAATGTCAGGCGAAATGGTGAGAAATAAGGGTTGAACCTGCATCGGGCTCGGTGGCCTGAGGACTTTGGGTTTATGCTTTTTGAACAGTCCTTCCATTGGCTCGGTGAGAGCAAATGTAATTTGTGTATGTAGTATGTAGGTGTTTGGCTGTCCTTTAACTTATTCTCAATTTCAGGCCACAAACCCAGTTGTGCTGATAGGAGAATGAGCCTCAGTCAGTTTCACCCTTCCCCTCACACCCACATAGGCATTTTGCCTATATTTGGGGAATCTTACAGAGTGCCAACGAATTGTGTGTGTGTTTGTGTGTGGGGGCTTGGGTCAAAGGTCATCCATCCACACAGGTTACAGTGGGCTGTTCTCTCTTTCTGTCCAGATGGCTCCATCTGGTGGGTGGCTCTTTTGCTTTAGGGGCGGGATCCCATCAGGAATCACTGGCCAGTGGGCTATGCCCTCAGGGGTCCTTGGGGCCCTGCCACCTCCCCAGGTGCTGCCAGGAAGCTGAGGCCACATCCCCAAAGCCCAGGACTGGGAAACTCACTCCCCCAGCCCAGAAGCATCTCTTCCTAATCTAATGGAGACTTCTCCACGTTTCCTGCCTTTCCAAAAAAACCACTGCTTCTTTCCTTAAATCATAGCTCGCCATGGCTTAACGTACTTTGTCTTGGATCAAAGCAATGATTACAGAGGCATATTCTCTGTGTTTGAACAGAACAAGTTACCTCCCTGGCTTTGTGCCTCGGGTTCTTTGTAACAGGGCGATGGTAGTACCTTTATTTGAGAACAGGGAGGGCTGGACCTTCAAACCTCTGCGAATCGGAGAGAAACCAGAATCATTCCTGATGATTAGACATACCAACATACTAATTGCAGCCTGCTTCCCATGATCTTTAAAGGGGAAAACGATAATGCATCTTACAAAACTCTCAACCAATCTTTAAAAAATAACTAAAACCCAGCAAAATGCCCCTATATAAATAAGCAATAAACTATTTTGCGAGGGCACTTAAAACCTTTCTTCCTGATGCCCGTCAGCATGGCTGTCAGCAAATGGTTGCTTTGGACGCAGCGATTCAGCCTCTCCTGGGGACAGTAACCTCTGGAAGGCACACACATGTCCCCTTTGCTTATACAGGGCGTGTGTTCCAGGATAGCTGATGGCCACCCTGATAATTCACCCCTTGTATTTGGGGTGTAATTTGAGACTTTGCCCCATATATCCTATTGTTTAAAATGTAGCATCGAGTTTTGAGAAAATTCATAAATTTTTTTCTACATAAACATCTGAAAAGCACTTACTGAGAGAACCCTACGTTCTACAAGGATTGGGTGTTAAAAATGGAGGTGTGCATTCTCCCAGGAAAACGCTTGAGCGAGGCCCTCCGGTGGGGGGTGCTGCACTCCCCCCGAATGCTTCCAGGTAGCAGAGGGAGAGATGGCAGGGAGCCCTGGTGCTGGATTCTCATGTCCCGGCAGTCATCTCCTGCCCACCTAAAATGCTGCCCTTCTGTTCTCTGTAAGGGTTCCTGATTTACTTCACTTACGGCATTAGACACAGCCTGGAGAGCAATCCAAGGGATGAAGATGATGACGAAGACTCATATTCAGACACCGTTCATGCAGCAACGGAAGAAAAATCCGCCTTCCAGGTACACGACCACCACCAAAGAAGCCTCAGCTTACCCTTTGTACTCAGTGAAAAGACGAGCGAGTGCTAATGCTCGCTGGAGCGGAGTCCACAGTCTTAACGAGCACACCCCACACTGAGTGGCCCGGACAGGGCGGCGGCGCCGTGCTGGCTTGTCATGGGCTTGCTGCGGACATAGTTCCCCCTAATTTATACTCACCTGGACAGCACCTCCTCAGGTAATGAGTTACGTACCTGAGGAAACCTGAGCTCTCTCCTAGTGCTGAGTATCTCCCAAATAATGTGTGTGTGTGTGTGTGTGTGTGTGTGTGTCTGTGTGTCGGGGAATACAAATGGTAAAAGTTGTCTGTGTTTTGCTGTTACTGCATTACATTTTTTCCAGTGTTTGTCTTGAACTGGTGCCATATACTGCACATACTGAAATGCAGGCAGTCACCACCTAGAAAAGTGTTCTGTATGTGCTTGGTGTTGTTAGGGAAATAATTTGCTTCGCCTTGTTAGATTTCATTAATTAATGTCAACGTAGAGCGTGCTGCACATGCAGTCCCTCATCTGGGCGTCTGTCACTGGTCAAGAGTAACAGGAGGGGATGAGAAACGAGCCTTTTTCTATAACTTACAAAGCCATCGGTGGGTTTAGTACAGAGTTTCCTTCTACGAGGTGTGGCAGTTTGCTAAAACTTTAGCCAGTAGGAGTGTTTGCAGCCACCTTGCTGCACAGGGAGGCGTGGCCTTCTGTGTCACCAGGTGGCGCCCCTTGGAGCTGCTGTCTTCTCTGAGCATGGTGTCCTCGAGACCCTTGTGCCAGAATGTGGTCTCCGTGGCCAGAAAGCTGGCATAAATAGCAACAGTGAGGATGTGTTGTTTTGAAAAGTCACTTAAAATCAGCTAGTTGAGTCTCCACATCATGCAGTTGGTGGGTGATTCATACTTTTTTCCATTACTTACTAGCCAATCACAGTTCAGGCTCTTTAACCTTGTCAAACAAAGAATTCAGTCCTCTGTTTCGATTCTCTGTTTCTTGTCTGAGATATGAGGGGTTACAGTTGCACAGTCTACCTTTATTACGTGCAAAAGTAGAAAAAACGAAGGGATACAAGAAGGGAAAATTTCCTTGTTCTAATTTTGCAGTGCCTATTCAGATGTTAAAGGGCATTTGGCTCAGATCCCAGGGTTTAGATCTCATTTGACTGTTTCTTTTGCAGACATTTAGGGATATTTTTCATCTCTCATTCCATGATAGTTTAGCACTTATAGTCTCATTTATTTTTAAATGACCACACTAAAGCTACTCATATGAGCTCCAATATTCTGTACTAACCCATCAGTGGTTGGGAAATACCATATTGTGGTTAAATACATGATTATATAAAACTCTAAGCTAAAAGATTAACCAAATGAAAGTTGTAGAAACACAGCAGCCTTTATATGACTAAATAATTTGTTTTTAAATGTGAGATTCTCTGATTACTGGGTGTCACTTTGTAGGCTTCTCTGATAGTGGACTATTTATCTGCAGTGGGATTTGCTTCTCATGAATTATATATTTATTACAAATCCTGAAATAGTCCACTAGATGAAGCTGGAGGTGTGCATGGGTTACATTCCCAGGACGGTTGTTACCAAGCACACCAGTTGACCAGCTTACTCCCCAAACAAGGAAAACATCTCTGTCAGCTCTTCCAAGAAATCCATTATTTTATTGCTGCATTAAGAAGCAAGTTGCAACTGAATGGTCTAACCAAGAGTTTATAGTGATGAAACATCAAACAGACAAGTAGAAAGCCTGGCTCTCCGGCTGCTGCAGTCCTGGAGTCCCTGACATGGAACTCAGAGCTGACATTCCACAAGCACCAGCGTGTACGTGTGATGTCCGAGGCCCAGCACTCTCTCCCAAGCTGCCTGTCTCCCTGGAGGGGAAGAGTTAGGCAGGCAGGGAGCGAAGGACGTGAGTGAGGACTGCATGCTCCTGAGTCCTGGCTGTGGTAGCTGTGCCCTAAGGCCTGTGTTTATTCCATTGTCAGTCTAGAATAGGCCCCGCACCAGGGAACACGAGGAATTTCGTACGTGCATACTTAACTCTCTTATCTTAACAGAATCAAGAAACTCTCTTAGAATGGGACAGGCAGCTAAAATTATTATGCCCGCTGTGTTCCATTAGGAGCAGAGATTAGTTTAAAAAAGCATTTTTCCACATTGAAACACTTTGCAAACACAAATCTATGAAAAGACACTTTGTCAGCAACCGCTTTTTCTCTGTGAAGACTCAAATGTCTGTCTATGTGAGTGTGTATGTATTATATATATGTGTATGTCTGTGTATTCCAACTGTCCATGCAAAAGTCGGTTGGGTTTAAGATGAGCTTTGGAAATAATACCATTGTGTGGATTTAAAAAAAACCCAACTGATGTAGAGATAATACAGTGTTTTGTATTGAAAGATACGCTTATATAAAATTTTTAGGTTTTAAAGTATTTTGAAATACATAGTGATTTTATATATATGATATTTTCTATAGATAGATTGTTCAGGAAAGCTGTATTTATAGTGTTTCTAATATGAAATCACTAAACTCTAGTACATTGTAACAGGTGCTTTCTACTCTGAGGTGGGGTTGGGGACACTCGGGTGTCCCGTTGACTTGGTCTCTGTGCCACCTTCTCGGCATCTCTGCCTCAGCTGGTCCGGAAAAAGCCGGCACTGCCCACCTGGGTACCACTTCCCTGCCCCCACACTGGAATTCATGACCTTCGGAACAAAATGTTGTTTTAACTTTCTTAGGAGTACCAAAATGTTCTGTTAAATGAATGACACTTATATAAAGTTCTCTCCAGAAATTAAAAAATATAGAAACATCTTCTCATTATTGTGATTGCATAGCAACAGCTTAAATGACTTTTTTTGTACTAGGAAATATGTTTTTATAACATTTTCGGTGAGAAGCATCTTATAATAACACTTTTATTTGATGCTCTTTTAAAAGAGAAGATGGTTTGTGAATAACTGTGTGAAGGCCCTCCTGCCCTACATAACCAGGTACTGTGCAAGTTCAAGTTTAAAAATTATTTAATTTATTGAGAAATAAATTATTGAGAAAACTGATATTTGAGCTTATAGATTATTACATGTTCACCTTTTTCCAAAGGATAGGTATCAGGAAAACTAAGACTAAAAACTCATTTGGGTTATATACATTAAAGCAAAACTAATGTTGAGATATATATATATCTTTACTATTACCAACCATAGTTGATGAAAAGTATTTGTTTCAGAATTACATTCCCTTAAAAGATAGGAGCCTCTCTCAATTTTTCTGAATAAAGATTTAAAAGTTTTTTCATGAGTAATTTTTGAATTTTACATTCTGTGCCACTTAAAAAAAATCTACTTGAACCATTTAATATATCTTCAAAGAAATTTAACAACAGATTCCTCAAGTTCAGTTTTTACATTTTAAATACTAGCTAACATATTTTTGCAGTTAATTGTTACAGTATTTTGAATTGGAGTCTATATTTAGCAAATTATTTCCTAAACTCACTTGAATGCCTAGCCAGGAGAATAAGGGAAAGCAATCGCCCCCCAGTGCCACAGGGGCAGGTCGGCCTTATCTCCTTCCCTCTCCAATCGGGCCCATTCCGACCTCACAACCCTGGGATGTGGTCCAGCCCAGGTTCCAACTTCCTCCCGCCCCTGTGGTGTCACTTACCATGTTCTCTGCCTGATTTCTGCTGGTGGGCTTCAAGTTAACACCAAAAATACAATTTCCACTGAATTTTAAAGGATTAGATCATACTTCGTAGAGTCTTAGAATGTACACAATTAGTGTGAATTTGGGGTGGGAGGGATTAACTGTTTACTAGTACGAGTGCCAAAGGAAAAAAGTGCCTTCTCTGTACATGTTCTACTTAACCCTCTCTAACACGTCCTAAAATATCAAGGGGAAAAGTGCCAAAGTTCATGTAGTGCCGGATACCAGCCCAGGTCATTTTTTAATGTAGATTTGAAAGGAAGGCTGTTCGACTTTGTAGTTCAGCAGTTTATTTTTCCCTCCTTGTATCATTATGTTTCAATATGTTTTAATGGCTTTCTGTTTTCTGGGTTTTGAGAGGCCATTGCTGTTATTGTTGTAGTTGTTGGGTTTTGTAACATTCATGATTGTTTGTATGTACAGTTTAGTCGTACTGATTTCAAAGCCATTTTGTTATGGCTCAACCCAGCCGGCAACCCCATTTGCTGGGAGCGCTACACTTAGCTTTTATTCACTATGGCTGAAGCCACTGCCACAATCTCTGGCCTCCAGAAGCTTTCGCTGACCACTGGGGCCCCGTGGGGGTCATACACCAGGACCCTGTGCTGGTTCCAGGGTCGGGCAGCCTGCAAAGGGCGAGCATCCGTAGCTCCCCCTGTTGGCTGGGGTCTTAGGGTACCAGGGGAGGATACAAAGTAAAAGCCCTCATATGCAATGAGGTAGTTTGGGGTCCTTAATGTCAGTTCCAAATGTCCCATGAGGACACCAAGGGGAATGATGAGGACAGAGGAAGCTCTGGGTCTCCTGGAGGGGGTGGCTGGTCCCTGGAACCGGCACCAAGGGGTCTGGCTTACCAACCGTCCCTGGCACCCCACTGACAGCCTTGAGGGGGAGGGAACCGCGTATCACCACCAATAGGGTGGTGTCCCTGGCCCATGCCTGGCTGACCACCCGCTCTTCACCTTTGGTGCCCAGCTGTCTTACTGCTTTATTTTGTTATTGTACTCGGTAGAAACTGTCAATAGAGCCCAAAACCCTACGGGAATTCTGCCTGTAAAAACCAACAGAGACATTGGACTTGCGCAAATGTAAAGGGTTTTTGTTTAGTAGGTAATTTTACATTTAAATGTTTTCAATGATAATCAATGTTCCTTTTTACTTATAAAGTTGGGTTATTTTTTAGAATTTGTGATAAATAAGAACTATTTGCTGCTTTACCACTGTAAAATAGGCTTTCTAATGTGACCACGTATTTTTTAAATAAATTTTAATACAACTTGTAAAATAATGTAGTATGCCTGTGTATCACACGTACCAAAGTATACATTTTGTGCATATTTTATTTAAACTGTTTCTTTTATTTGGGAAACTTTAAAGCTCAAAAACATAGCACAATTTAAGTTGCAAAAGTTTTATGGTTAGGGATACTCACCTGGTTAGCCTGTGACTAACCAAATCCAAGAAGGTAAGAGAGATGTCTCCTATCCCCTCAACCCTCACGGCACAGTCCAAAAAATATGGAAGCATATCCCTCCAGGACCACACACTTCCGAGGTCCTGCCACTTCAGCTGCCGTTTAATGGACCGATCTCATTAGTGTCGCTTTTGTCCATGAGAAGCTCCCCAGTGTGTTCCAAACCAAATCGTAGCCTGTGATAATGGGTGATCAGTTGTGTGTAACTGAGAAACAGTTTTACTGTACAGTGAATAAATACCCACCACCTTCAGTCCTCTTACCCTCCGAGAATGAGGAGTCAAAGTGTTCTGTGACATGGCTCACGTTATTTAAAATTGCAAACCCCTTGAAGGAGCGTGTTTGATTTTGGAATGTCTTTGTGGATATATATATATACACTGAATTCCTATCGAGTCTAGTGAATTGGAGGGACACCGTGTTGAATTTTAAAATTTTAATATCGAGGAAGCCGGCATTGAAAACCAAGCTGAAACAGCAAAATATTTCCCAAGTAGAAGCCTAAAACCTCATCTGTCTAATTGTTTATTAGCATTGCTACTAAGTTTTGATGACCCACCTCTGCTCTGGTGCCATATAATCATATGAAAAAAAGTTATGTCCCAGGAGCTATGTCGGGCTGGGGGTCTAACCAGGAACCCCTGGTGTGGGGGGGCTCTGCCCACAGGGGCCCCCCCCTTGCCACCACAGATGTGAATAAATCTACCAAGACATGATCTGCTTGGGGAGGAAAGGTGGCCAATGTCGCAAAGGAGAAGGGCCAAGAGCCTTTTCTTCAATGGACTTTTATTGGGTTCATTTTGCACAGGAATACAGGTAAAGCTCATTAATCATTGTCAGGCAATAAGGACAAACAATAGATACCAAGGAACTCTTGAGGGCCTATTTTGAGTCAGGGTCAGATAGCTAAAGAGCTATAAAACTTTGAGGAACAAACTCACTTCTTGCTTGGACCCTTATTTAGTTGAGAACATTCTAAACAAAGCAGCTTTCATGGGATTTTGCATATTCTTTCTTAGGCCTGATTACCCTAGGGAACCTGCCCTTTCCAGCACAGGGCTGCACCCACCACCAGCATTGTCTCAGGCTTACATCAGGCAGGGGTAGTAAGGCAGCCAAGAGATTAAGAGACAGAATGAGGACTCAGGCTATGTCATAGCCAAGGGGTGAGGGTCCGTCACCCCCTTTGGCTGTAGGCCCCCAAGTCCTTCCTTGGGGCCTCTAAGTGATTGTGCCTGTCTTAGGTCGTTCCCCCCTTGGGGAATCTTACCTGTCATTGGCTAACCGATCAAGCATTGGGGGCCAGTTATGGATGAAGTAAAAGGGGCCCAGGGGGTGCCCCTGCCGGGGAGATACACTTTGTCTCCTTAGTGGCTTATGGTCCAAAGATCGCTCACTCAGCCTTAGCCATGGGGGGGGGGGGTTACAGCTCCTGAAACCAGGCAGGGCGGTTCCCAACACCCTGGAAATGGGATACCTTTGTGTTCTTTAAACACAGCCACAGAGAAGCTTCCTTTCCAGGCTCAAGGTCCATGGAGGTCTGATTGTGCTGGCAAGTCTCCATCCATCTGTGTGGACAGAGTGATTCATTTCATTCATCCCAAAAAAACATCTCAAAAAACTCTCATAGGCATATAAACTCACCCATGACCACATTATCTCAAAGCAGGGTCAAAGTATGGGGGAAACTACCTCAAAATAAACTCAGCTCATAGCTGATTTACTTACTTGAACCAGTTTAGCAACAGACTCAGAGCCAACTCTTAAATACTTTTAGATACTAGAGATGTCAGATGTCATAAATCCTGGTGAAAGGGCCCTCGTGACGCTCTGCTGAGACCAGAGCAGTCAACACGAAGAGGAAAACACGAGATGGACTGCACTACCCAGGAATGTTACACTGCTCAGGGCGCGTTCATAGCTCCACAACAGGGAAGAATGCTGTTTCTGGGCTCTGGGTCTTTGATCCACAAGTTTCTGGGGTTTCCCAACAGCTGAGCTGGTCGGTCTCCATTATCTTCCCCTCTTGCTCACGGGAGCCTGACATCACTCCCCGCAAAGGCCAAGGGTTTCATCGCCTTGGTGGAAATCAGACCCACAGTCCAGTGTTTTGGAACTGAAACATGGACTTAAGCTGGCATTAAGTTGTCAATGACTAATAGAAGATGCTTTTCAAAGAGGCAGCGTTTGAAGCCCATAAGCAGGTAAAGCCAATAGGCAAGGATGTTTGAAGTAGGAAGGAGGGACACTATTAAGAATAAGCAAAGGTAGGAGAAGATGTTGATTTTAAGTCATTTCCATTTTAGCTTGGAGTTGCTCCTCTTTCCCAAGCCTTAGAGGCTCTTATACCTAATGGACAGGTAACTCCCTTTACCGTATGCTGTCTCCTGTGCCAGGAGAGTAACCTCTTTAGCCCCAACTATTTTAAGGAGACCAAGGGTCTGAGGTCCCGGCCCTATGGTGTCCCTTGATGACTGGCTCTGGGAGCACCAGAAATGTCTGGCGTTTCTGTTAGAACGAGAGTGTTTAAAACAACTACGGTTAGCGCTGGCTAAAACCTTGAAACATTAATTTTAAAAATATTGGTTGCAGTTTTTCTGCAGTATTTCTGCAGTTAAGTAAGAGAGTTGGAAAGGTGTGTCGGGAGTGGTAGGGAGAAGATGCCCAAAATATAGGTGGTGTCTTTTTTCTTTTTCTTTTTCGGCTTCCCTAACAAATCCCTGATGTTATTCACCACTTTGAAGGTGGCTACAAAGGTGAAAGGAACAGAGGAGTAGGATGATTTTTCAAGACAGAGTAGTTTCCACTACCATTCTTTAAAAGGTTTAGTGAAAATGCTGCCCATAAAATAATTCACAAATCAGGAGACCGTGACGGAAGCACTGGTAGCCCTCGGGGCTGCTGCTGCTGCTGGGCGTTCACCAGAGACTGACTCACTGCATGGCAGCAACTCGTGCTTCTGAAGAACAGTGACGGAAATCACGCTTTTTATAGACTTACATCGGCAGGGGCATCTGCTTGCACCCTGGCGCCACGCTCCCTTCTCTCTCGCTTCCATTTCCTGACTTCTGTTCCTCCCCTCCACCACGCTCCTCTCCAACTCTGCGTTGCTAAGGCAATGCCTGGGGCTGCTGGCCGTGCTCTTCAGAGGAAGGTGGCAGTGCACAGTCACTCAGACGATGCTGCGCCCTCCTGGGGGTGTGACAGTGGCTCCCTGGACACTGGCTTTCAGAGGCTCTGTTTTTTTCAGCCTCCTCCCTTTCTGCATTGGGAGAGAGCTGTTGATTCAGGGGAGCGCGGACCCCTGGCCAGTGCCGTCTCCAAGCCACGCTGTGCTCCTTGAAGTCCGGTCAGTGGATCACACACACTAAATGCTGATTAAGGCAGGAACGGGTGGAGAGAGCAGACAGGCAACTATTAATAAAGAAAACACAGGTTTTGCGGGAAATATAATCATTTATCTAAAAACCCAGGACGTCATCTGAAAAGTACATGGACAACAGGATGGTGGTTACCAGAGGGGAGGGGGATGCAGGGTAGTAAAGTGTCAAGGGGTCAATTATATGGTGATAGAAGATGTGGTTTGGGGTGGTAAACACACAATATACAGATGATGGGTCATAGAATTGTACAGTTGAAACCTATATAATTTTATGTATCAATGTCACCCCAATAAATTTAATAAAAAAGGATACAAATATACCAACATTAATCATGCCTTAGGAATCCAGGCTTCAAGGTGTATTTGACTTTGACCTGTAGGACAAGGTGTATTTTAATTGGCCAATATTATAGCAATGGTTGGAGAAAGAATGGAATAGATCAACATAAACAGAGACTCTAATAATAAAATTCTTTCTCACCCTAGAGACAAAGCAAATGGGGTTTCGCAGTGAAATAGAACCTACAAAAATACAAGTTGGCAGTATTAGTTTTCAATTTCAGAGACATCATGAAGCCAGGCTGTTTCACGCCTTGGGAAGCCCCTGCGTTTCTTGTAGCCCTGGCTCCGGTCCTAACCGACTGGAGTTGTCCTGGAAGGTTGCACAGCCTCAACAACAGAGCTGTATTCTCCCCGTTCTGGAAGCTGGAAGCCCAAGCTTCGGTTGTCAGCAGGGTTGGTGTCTGTTGCAGCTTCTTTTCTTGGCTCGTAGGAGGTCAGTTTCTCCCTGAACCTTCACGAGGGTTTCCCACTGGGCCTGTGTCTGTGTCCAAGTGTCTTCTTACTTCCAGGGACACCGGTCAGGTCGGACTAGGGCTCTCTCTCATGATCTCATTTTAACTTAATCACCTCTTTAAAGACCCTAGTTCCAAATGTGGTCACATCCTGGAGGTCAGGACTTCACCACTGAAATAGGGGTGGGGGGCAATTCAGCCCATAACACAGACCTAGGATAGTTTAGACACCTAAATTTAGCTAAAGTGTATGTGATATAGAGGAGGCTTGGGCACTAAAATCCCAAAATTATTTTCTATATATCACTGACCTAGTGTGAAAGGGTAATGGGGGAAGTGTCATTCACAGCAAAACAAATAAATCATCTGGCAAAAATAAGAAATAAGCCTAACAAGTGACAAGGAGGACATACATGGGGAAAATACAGAACTGAACTATACACATGTGTCTATATGTACACACATTACATCCATATTCATGTAGCCTAAATTTAGCTAACATGTATTTGACATAAAAGAGGCTTGGAAATGCAGAACTCCCAAATCATTGCCCTAATACCAGCATTGACCAGTTATAAAATACAACGGGGACATACAAGTACACTTGATTAAACACAAAGATATATAACGTAACTTTCTTGGATGGGAAGACTCAATATTGTCAATATATCCACTCTTCAACAAAACACAAATTCAATGCAATCGCAGTCAAAACAGTGTGGCTTTTATGGAGACTGACAAGCTGATTCCAAACTTCATCTGGAAAAGAAAATTCACAATAATGACCAACAGAAGAACAATGGCAGGTGCATCCTCGTCCAGACAAGTAATAAAACGTACCGTAAATCGGTACCAATTAATGCAGCACCGTGTTTCTATAGGGATAGATAAAGAGATCAATAAGCCAAATAGACACAGACCCATCCACATATGCAATTTCGTACACACTAAAAGTCAATTCTAAAAGATGGAAAAAGAACCAATCCCTTAACAACTGACAGTGTCAGAGTGACCATCCAAGCAGACAATCAAATTAGATTTCTAACTTGTGATAACAAAAAAGTGTATTCACATGTATATATAGAGAGATGTATCTAAAGGCTAAACATGAACAACAAATTATGAACGTTTGAGATGCAAATATAAAATAGCTTTATAATCTGAGGCAGGGAAGGCCTACCAAAGAGAGTATAAAACCCAGAAGCCATGGGGAAAATTTACTGAAAAGCCAATAATTACATAAGCACTTGTAATTGCCTGAAGGAACGCACCGCTAGGAAAACAGAGACAGGAGCGAGACTGGAAGGAAATATCTGCCATACATGTAACACCCAAGAACTTACCAGCCAGAATAAACGAAGATTCTTCTAAGACAATAATGAAAAGAACTGAATTGTCAAAAATAGGCCAACACGATAAGGTGCTCATCATAAATAGTAAAAAAGAAGTAAGAACTGAACGAGCATATTGAGATTCCACCCAGGGGCCGTGAACTTTGGAGTCTGGGCCTTGCTGGGGAGACTTACACAGTTTACATTGGGTTAGATATTTTAAAGTTTCATTTGAAGTCAGGTCTAATTGCTGGGAAAAGCGGGTTGAGGCTCAAGAAGGAAGGTGGGGGGACAGACCCATGGGGGGCTGTGGCCATATCCCCATCAGGGAAGATAACAGCAAGAACCTGGGCAGTGAGGCCAGGAATGATGGCAAAGAGGGACAGACAGACCAGGCAGGACCTGGTGACTGTGAGGAGTGATGGGCCCCAGGTGTCAGCCCAGAGTGACAGAACGAAAAGGGATCTCAGTGTGGAGCAGCACATGCAGATTTAGTACCTCCTGTGCACACTCCTGGATTTCTTTGCTCAGAATGCTCCCTTGGATGTGAGCGTGACTAGTTTAAATGCTTATCTCCAGGCCTACTGTGCCTCCTCAACAGTAGGAATGATGTCTTAACCCTTATACCCATACCCATGAACACCTAATAAACATCTAGGGGGCACAGGTTAGTTTGGGGAGTTGTTGAGAGACAGTGGCAGAGACAGGACTTCAACCTTGGACTTCCATACTCCAGGTAACTCTTCTCTCCCCTGCAAAACTAGGAATGGTGAAGCTAGAACCAGAGCTGGCTGTGGAAGATAGAACTCTGATCCCTCGGGGTTGAAGTGGCTGCTAAGCACTAGTTTGTCATACGCTGCAGCACTTCTTCCCGTGGGTGTTCAGGGAGAACAGGGTCTTTCCAATGGTGCTCGCTTTTACTTGGAACGTTTAAATGAACAGGCCCTGCTCCCCACCTGGGGGAATGCACTGGCCTGCCTGTACCTGCAAATTGCTTTGATCTTGTGAGTCTGCAAGCTCCGAAACCTACAATGGCTCGCAGCAGAGAGGCACTCGGAGGCTTAAGTGCTCTACCCCACCACAGCCCCACTGCCCACGGCCCCAGGCTGTGGGTTCAGTCTCATTTCCCACCTGAGTCCCTCGGTGAATCTGCCCTTCCAATCTGGTCGGGGAAAGCGGCTGAGCCAGTTCTTGCTTTGCTCCTTAGTGCATGCTTTCCCCGGTGGATGGCCAAACAAGGGGAAGGACACCCCCGCCACCTTGCGCCTGGTCTCCAAATTCAAGCCCTACCCTTCAGGTGAGTTCCTCTCACCTGAACTCATCTCTCTGAACCTCTGCAGTATTCATAGCACATACCGCACCGTTCAGCATGTAATTATATTTTGGTTTGCAATGCTTCTTCCTTTTCACCTTAATCACCTCCTCAGCACGCTTCATGAGAAGCACACGGAAGGGTGAGAGGGGAAGAATGCGCTAGAACTGCGGAGCCTCCTGGTAGAAAATAGATGTTACACCGAGAAGCCCAGAGCTCCGATCTAAACTCAGAAGAGGTTGGGGGGGGGAGCGGGATGTTGGGCGCAGGGCGGCGCTGATGCTGTTGAGCGGATCTGCTCCCTGGCACAGCCCTCAAGAGCGTGGGAGGCTAAGGGGGCTTCGCAGGGAACACAGGTGATACACATGGGAATTAAATAGGGGCACTTTCTACAGAGCACGGAGGCTCTGCCTGAGCTGGTCGGGAGACATTTCAACAGGTATGGTGAAAGAGACCCTCTGAGGTACCCGCAGAATTGCGCTGGGCCTTCTTGAAGTTGGTGAACTTGAGATAAAGCCTTTTTGGACAAACGGAAGGATTTGGCCGTCCTCGTCTCACCCTTAGCTCGTCTTCCCTTCGAAAGAAAAAGCGCTGCGCTTCACTGCTCCGCCAGGGGGCAGGAGAGGACACATTACACCGAGTTTAAAAAAAATCCCGAAAGTTTTTCCCCAAAACCGTGTTCCTCGTGAAACTGAATCCTCCAGCTGTGGCGTCCCAGGCGCCCGCCCCGACCCGCCGCGGCGCCCGCCCCGAGGCGGCGCCCCTCGCCCGCCGCCACTCGCTGCGCCCCTGCCCGCGCCCCTGCCCGCGCCCTGGGCTGTCCGCGCGCCTTGGATCCGCTCTTCCGGGCACCTTTGCCCCGACCCTTTGCCCTGAAGATGAAGGTTTGGCTGCTGCTTGGTCTTCTGCTCGTGCACGAAGCGCTAGAGGATGGTGAGTGCCTCAGAGTGCGGGGCTACAAGTCTGTGCGCCCCGACTGTCGCCGGGATCCCCCAGCACTTGACCTCCAGCTCTTCTTCCAACTCCTGACCTTCCGAGGCTCCGCGCCGGCGTTACTCCTGCCGCGTGCACCTGCCCCCTCCTAGTAGCGTCTCCTTATCTCCCTCTCTCCCCCTCCTCCGGGCACCCCGGGACGGTGGCAGCTACCCCGACTCTTAGTTCCCCAGCGGGACCGCTGCAGCGCTCCCAGAAAGCCTTTGGCGGGCAAACGGAGCGTCCCCAGCCAGCGCCTGGTCCAGCCCCCAGTGTCAACGTGTCGGTCTGGGAGGTGGCGCAGAACGGTGGCCGGCTTCCACCTCGGAGCCTCCGCGTTCGCTCCCGGATCTCTGCTTTCGAGGGCCGGTGCCACCTGAGCAAGGCGATTGCTGATTCTTTTGCAAACTTTGAAGTGTCTTCCTCCTCCCAGCCACAGTCCCAGGGTTATTTCCTGTACCACCTAGGGCTTGAATCCCGCAAGATCTTCCTAAGTCTGAGACCAGATATTTCTACGGATTAAACCTCAAAAGGAATCAGAACCCCATGGCTGTTAATTATACTTCTGAACTGAGTGGGTGGGAAATCGAGGAAATGCGTGTTTGTACGGCACCAGAGACTCTTGTGGCTCTACTTTGTCCAAAGTGTGCTTGTCCTGGGCCCACCCTGTTTTGTAGACTCACAACCAAAGGGTCAGGCTTTATTTTCACATATGTTTGAATGTGTTGTTTATGTCTATGTTATATACATATCACTGTTAGCATTTGCTTGTCCTGCTGGCTCCATTATTTATTTGACTGGTGTTATTTGTACAGTACATTTTGCATCTGGGGGCATCCTGGCATCCTGAACCCTCCCTTGGAATCCCTCAGCTACAGCCACAACTTTCTCTTAGTTTTGGTTGAAAAGCAGCTTTTGCTGTTATGCAACCTCACACTGTAGCCTGCTCAACCTGGCTCACATTTTATCCACTACTCAGTCCTGACCAGCTCCCTTCTTTCCCATGAAACTAGAAGCGTTGGCCAAAAAAAAAGAAAAATACCTTCTAGATTGCAAAGATCAAGGTGGTGGTAGGACTTCACGCTGAGCGTGAGGATCCTTAAGCCTGGAGTCTTGCTGAGAAAAAATGTACGGAGTGTTTCTTCTGGGGGGCCAGGTAGTGAGCAGGACTCTTTGCCCAGAGCTGGCAGGAGTTCATGCTGTAAGATGTGATACTAAGACGCTCCTGATTGCTAAAGTGATGGGAATGCAGCATTTTTATTTAACAGGGCAGGAGCTGGCCAGACAAAATAATTTCCAATAGCCCACTCACTCGATTATACAGTTCACCCAGATGCCTGCCTTGGAGGCCCAGGAAACAGGGCCAGCCTCTGTCTCCTGGAGTTTTCCCGTCACTGTGCGCCCAGACCACGGGAACCGTTACCAACGGCCTGACTCAGTGAGCACTGTTTGAGTCAAATGCCATTTACACCAGCAATGAACGTTTATGAGACAATCCGAGAAAATTCAACACAGGCTAAGTATTTTATAAGAAATAATTGATTGATTTTAGGCGAGACCATAGCACTGTGGCTTTAAAATATGTAGTATAGACAGTGATTAAAATACTGAATACATAATTATAAAAGTAAATCTGCCTTGTAAAATTATGTAACAGTGTTCCTAAACCTATTTGGGTTTTTTTTTTTTTCTGTTTTGAGTTATGGTGTGTCTGGCTGGGGCCAGGAGCAGGCCACTGAGAGTGCCAGGCTCTGATTGGCAGGTTGGGATATGGTGCTGGCCAGCTGCAGACACAAGATCATGACTCAGTGTGTCCCACTGCCTTTTCATTTTCCTGATCACTCCTGGGAGGGGCCTTCTAATAGAAAAAAGCTTCCCTGCAAGCGTGTATGGGGTGTATTGCTCTGTTTGCCTGGCCTAATTCTAGCCCAGTATCATGTGCCTGGCTTAATCCTAAAATGCTTTAAATTTTTAGAAGTAATGTTATTTCTCCTGATGAACAGTGGCAGCTGGAAGGGCAAATATTACTCTTGTAGCTTGAAAGTGAGGCATGAAAACAGTCACTGAACAGCCCGAGGTCCCACTCAGAGTGGCTGTGGTTCACAGCACTGGATGCCTTTTATCCGCTGTCAGGAGCAAGTGATGCAGCCTACATATCGATTTGCGGCTGCTGTTCCGTTGATCTTGATCAATGCTGATCTGATCTTCAGTCTAACATGAGCCACGGGTTCATTTGCGATCTTGGGAAAAGTTATCTTTCTGGGAGGACTAAAGAGATTCGTTATGATGTGGGGGCGGCAGGCCTAGACCTCTGTGAGGAGGGCAACTCTGGTGACGATTCTCTAACCAGGACTCTATCATTTTTTGTGTCTTCCATTTATTCCTTGGGAAAAGCGGGTAAAAATCAGTTCAGAAATTCTCAGCATGACAGAAAGATTGTAAAAAATTCTCACTGTTGACAAGTGCAAATCACAGATGTTTGGAAGCATGTAGGATTTTGGCATGTGTGTTTGACGTGCAAAATAATCTCCGAACCCTGGACGCAGAAAAGAGAAAAGTTGGCGGGTGAGAGAGAGACTGGGTGTGCCAGCCAGAGGGCCAAGAGGAGTCCGGAGAACCATGGCTTTTCCCACACAAAGTAGTAAAGCTTCACTTTGTGGTGCTCACAATCTCATGAGGAGGACAGAGGAAGAATAAACAAGTAAAGATTCATTTTGGGAAGTATAAGTGGCATGAAGAATCACCAATTGGGGTATATGAGTTTCCTAGGGCTGGTGTCTCAAAGTGGCACAAACTAGGTGGCTTTAGACGACAGAGCTTTATTCTGCACAGTTCTGGGAGACAGAAGTCCACACTGAAGGGGTCAGCAGGGCCAGGCCACCTCTGACACCCTGACTGGTGTCCTCCCTGGGTTCTGCCAGCGTCTGCTGGTGGCAGGGATCCTTGGCTTGCAGTGGGATTACTGCAATCTCTGCCTCTGCGGTCACCTGGCTGTCTCCTCCCTGTGCGTCTCTCTCTTCCCATGGCTCATTTTCACGTGTTTACGGGTACCTTCTCCTCCTGTAAGGACACCAGCATATTGCATTAGAGCTCACCCGAATGCGCTCATCTTAACTATATCTGCAAAGATCCTATTTCCACATGAGGTCACAGTCACCAGTACCAGGAGCTAGGACATCAATATGTCACTGAACAGCCCGAGGGAACACAGGCTCCCCCAAGGATCCCCCGAGGGAATCCTTTTGGGAACACAATTCACCCTGTAACTCAGGGAAGGAGGATGGAGAGGGCTACAGGTGGAGTGAGAGTGTGGTTTGAACAGGAGAGCCAAAGGAAGCAAATACTGCAGCTGTCTGAGGGACACCAGGCCAAGGGCACCCGGGACCCAACAGCCTCAGGGTGGTGTGGCTGAAGGACCACAAGGTATGAGACAGGGAATGGCCAAGCCTTGCCCTGGAGGACTGAGGGCCTTATTCTACATCAGATGAAAGCCGACTTAGATGAAAGCTGAAAGGAGTCTTGAGCACAGGCGTGCCTGGGATCTGATTTATGTTTCCAAAGTTCGAAGTGTTAGGGTGGAAGCCAGAAGCCTACATGCGGGGCAATTTTAATGGTCTAGTGGCTTGGTCCAGGGTGGTCCCAGCAGATGGAGGGAGAAGAGATTGAGTTCAGAGTTTATTCTGAAGGCAAAGCCATGGGGATTTGCTGCTGGATTGGACGTGGCTTAGGAGAGAAAGCAAATAATCATGTGTCCCTCTGAAGTTTTTGTCCTGAGAAACCGGGTGAAGAGAGTTGCCATTTGCTGATAAAGCTACACTGGGGAGGAGTGTTCTGAAGGCATCCAGAGTCGGTGTGGACATGTCTAATTGGAGTTGCCGGCCAGCTTTCCAAGTGGCAGTGCTGAGCAAGTGATTCAGACCCGGAGGCGAAGTCAGGACAGGAACAAGGCAGCTTCCGCATATAAATGCTGCCAACGCCCAGGGGACTGTGTGTGAGGCTGCTTAGAGATTGAATGTCATTAGTGATTGAGAGGAGTTGCAAGGATAAAGCCCTTGGGACTCAGACCAGGCAGGAAAGAGAGATGAGGAAGGGCGGTCTGTGTCGGAGGAGAAAAGCCAGGCCAGTGCCGGGTCCGGGGAGCCAAGCGAATAAGGGTGTTTCAACAGAAGAGGGATCATTTCCCAGTATGTGTACAAATACCAAATCATTATGTTGTGCAGCTGTGACAAACGCAAAGATACTAAAATTACCTCAATTAAAACAAAGAAAAAGAAGCATGATCAACTTTGTTGCAATGGATATTCTGAAAAATGTTTCAGAGTAAGGTCTTCACCCTGGAATAGAAATATGTAATTCTTAGAGATGGCTGTTTTAAGAAAACAGTGCTTTCAGAAATGGCAAGGCGCTTTGGAGTGGGATTGTCAGAGGGAGCAGGGAAGGAAAGGTTCTCGTCTTTTTACATTTTCATCTCCCAAGCATTAGCACTTTCCCGCCTGCTCAGCTTTGGTCTTGGAAAAGTCTATGTTCCTTTGGGTGTTTCTCGAGGCATGGAAAAGTGAGAGAGAGGCATGGCTCTCAGCGTATGCACGGCTCCCTCCATCCCGAGCGGCTCAGCACGTGGATGGTGTGGAGGCTGGGGTGCTACCCCTCACTGCCCGTGGGGAGCAAACACCAAACAGCTACGTGGCCTTGATGTTAATAACTTCACGTGTAGTTTCCATCTAAGCGGCAGTCAGGGGTTCTTTGGATGAATGCATTTTCTCCTCCCACACGGTTCTATAGAATTAGAGAGGTTCACAGTCAGGTCACTGGGTCTATTGAACCAGGGTTAATGGAATCTTCTGTTGATGCTAAAGAGTCTGTAGCCCTTTGTCCAGCTTTGTAACATTTATTCATTCATTTTGGAGACGGGATTTTGCCCGGCGTGCCCGCGCTTGGGGAGTCTAATGTATGCCCTGGGAAAGCATCTCCAGCCCTTCCAAGAGGTTGTGATCTCATCCCTGGCATCAAGTTTTGTTTGACTTGGAACTCGTTGTCAAAGCCCCGAACAGAGCAAACAAAGAAACCACTTAGACAATGGCTCTGTGCATGAGATTCGTGCAAATAGAGTGAAGCTACTACAGTCTTTTTGTCTCTCTGTGAATTGAAAGGCAACGGCACGAGCCAGAGAAGGCTCCAGACCTGCAGTGGAAGGGTCTGGCTTTTCACTACCTTCCTGGGGAGCCTGGGGTGAACCACCTGGCCTCTGTGACCTCAGTTTGTTTTCACCTGTATATGAGGAAGAATCATAGTGACTCTGCCTCCATCATGCATTTGTCGTGGAGCTCACCAGGAGACAGTATCACGAGGTGACCACAAATCAAGTAGCACTCATCTGGCACCTGCTGTGGGTCAGACACGGTTCCCAGGATTTTAAAATATTAACTCATTTATTCCCAGGGATCCATGAGAGTCATTAGCACCATATAATTCTCCATTCACAGATGAGGAATCTGAGGCAGACACAGGCTAAGTAACTTCCCACCATCACCTGGCTGGTAAGTGGCGGTCAGGACCTGAAAGCAATGATAATACCTAATGGTTTGTGAATTTTGCTACCTATTTATTCTTACAAAATGCAGTTGTCTAAAAAAAATGCCATGGGAATGGGCTTTCACTTTTATGTATCTACAATGTAAATTCCTACATGTTTTAGGGCATATGATTTACATAGTTAGAAATACTTTATCCCTGGCTGGTGTAGCTCAGCAGATGGAGGGTGGGCTGGGAACCAAAGGGTCGCCAGTTCAGCTCCCAGTCAGGGCACATGCCTGGGTTTCGGGCCAGGTCCCCAGTAGGTGGCCCATGAGAGGCAACCACACATTGATGTTTCTCTCCCTCTTTTTCTCCTTCTCTTCCTCTCTCTCTAGAAATAAATAAATAAAATCTTTTTTTAAAAAAAGAAATAATTTACATAGTTAGGCTGAAGAGTCACGTTCTTTGGAAAGGAGCCAGGGGTCTGGGAGTCGCCCAGTCCTGGGACTGCCTGGGTGTCTGTGGGGCCACTCATCTGACTCCTTGAACTTGGTGTCATTCCCGTGAACCAGGCAGCAGTTCCATGGCTAAGCAGGTGGACCAGCTATACAGACTGACTGGTGGGCCCGTTTGATCGAAAGGTTAAACCACTTTGTGGGGAGAATAGCACATATTTGGATGCGTGATATTCATGTTTAGGTCATTAAATAGTCCTGAGTAGGAGAATAGCCTCAAGGATCTGGTAGCTCACAAGTCAGACAAGTTGTGCTGGCTGCCTGAATTCCATAGGATTTACAGACAGTCGCCATGTTTGATAGCTTGCAGTCCTGTCGTGAGATAAAGAAAACACAGCATGTTGTTATTTTTTATTTAATCTTTAGTGTATGTTTTTTTTCCATTACCATTTTCTCTCCTTGTATCCCCCTCCCCGTAGCCATCAACACACAGTTGTCCATGTCCACGAGTCCTTTTTTCTTTTTGCTCAATCTTCCCACCCTTTAGCCTCCTCCGGCCCTTGACTGTCACCCTGCTGCCTCACTCTGAGTCTGTCTCTGTTTTGTGTTAGTTCGGTTTGTCCATTAGATTCCACATGTGAGTGAAATCATGTGGTATCTGTCTTTCTCTGACTGGCTGATTTCACTTAGCGTAATGCTCTCCAGGTCCATCCATACTGTCACAAAAGGTAAAATTTTCTTTTTTTCATGGCTGAGTAGTATTCCATTGTGTAAATGTCCCATAGTTGTTCTATCCACTCATCTACTGATGGACACTTAGGCTGCTTCCACATTTTGGTGATTGTAAATAACTCTGCAATGAACATAGGGGTGCTTATGTTCTTTCGAATTAGTGTTCTGGGTTCCTTGGCTGTAGTCCCAGAAGTGGGATCACTGGGTCAAAAGGCAGATCCGTTTTAAATATTTTCAGGTATCTCCATGCTCCTTTCCAGAGTGGCTGCACCAGCCTGCATTCCGCCAACAGTGCAAAAGGCTTCCCCTTTCTCTGCATCCTCACCAGCATGTGTGGTTTGTTGATTTATTGATAATAGCCATTCTGACAGGTGTGAGATGCTATCTCATTGTGGTTTTAATTTGCATTTCTCTGATGATTAGTGACCCCGAGCATTTTTTATATGTCTATTGGCCATCTCTCTGTTCTCTTTGGAGAAGTGTCTATTCAGGTCCTTTGCCCATTTTTTATTGGGTTGGTTGGAAATGAAAATACTTTCCTTTTTTGTGTGAATGTCAATTCTTACATGAAATATATCTCAATAAAACCTTTGAACCTGAAATATATTCACTTTCAGTAATTTCCTATTCTAAAACTATAAGAATGAACCAAGAAAATTGTGATTATTACTGAAAATAATTTCGACACACGAGGAGGGGGGTATTGAGAAGTGATGTGTGTTAGGTGTTAAATACTCTGGGTGTGTAATTGTTTCCTCTTTGTATTTGTACTAGTGACCGGCCAGCACCCCCCCAAGAGCAAGAGTCCAAAGGAGCCAGGAGAAAACAGAATCAAGCCCACCAACAAAAAGGTGAAGCCCAAAATTCCTAAAATGAAGGACAGGGACTCAGCCGATTCACCGCTGAAGATGCAGTCTATCATGGTACAGGTGATGGATAAAGGTCGCTTCCAGAAAGCGGCTGCTACCCTGAGCCTGACAGCTGGGCAGACCCTGGAGCTCCGATGTAAGGGGAGTAAAATCGGATGGAGCTACCCTGCGTACCTGGACACCTTCAAGGACTCCCGCCTGAGGTGAGCTTGCATGTACTTATGTGTTTATTTACGTACCTACGCTGAGTCAGGGTTTGCTTCCATTCCGTAACTAAATGTTATACTGCATTATTTCACTCTAAGAGCTTATGAAAATGGACACTCGGTGAACAAAAGTCATAGGTTTTATTTCTTTGACCAATTTAAAAAAATTACAACGCCTATCAACATTGGTTAAAACAGTGAAATTACATAGGAAGCCATGCGATGAATATTTGAAACTGTGATACATTAGAGATAGATATTTAAAAATTCATATTGTAAATAATAATGGACCCAATGCTTTATATTATTTTTTAAGTAATCATAATGAAAACTGAAATGACCTCACAGGAGGTTTCTATGAGCAACTTGACCTGAGACCAACTTAAACTGTTTTTGAAACTTTTCAACTGTTTCTCATTATTTTTACATTTCCTCAGTATGTGGTTTTTATATTCAGAAGCATCAGTGGGTAAGAAGGCTGAAATTTTCTCATGTTTGAATGAATACCTTCAGGAGGCTGGTTTCTTGCTCAGGGAAAGTGAAGCTTTTGAAACCTGTGAAAAGCAAGGACACAGAGCATGTTTCAGCGGATGCTGGGAGGAGCCTGGGGGGTTAGGGGATGCGAGTCCCCTGTATCTTTGGCAAAGTCCCTTAACTTTCCTGGGTCTCAGTGTTTTCATGTAGAGAATGAAGGGGATCAGACTACAGAATTTCCAAGACCCTTTCCACCCTTTTCTTTATATGCTTGGGCATAGAGAAATGCAGGATCTTAGCTGTTTGGAATGACTGGAATGCGAGAAGAAAGAATGAGGAGAGCAGGCGTCTCAAATTCTGCATATTCAAAACAGAGTCATGTATCTGCACAAACTCCACCTCCGACCTTCACCTTCCTCAGGGACACCACCATCCACTCAGCTGCTCAGCCAGAAACCCAGGGAACATCCTTGCCTTGTCCTCTCCCCTAATTCCCACATCCGGTCAACCACCAAGTTCAGCCAGTTCGGCCTTCCTGAGAGCCATCGGCCTGTCCTCTTTCCAGCTCGGCCATCACTGTCCCAGCTGGCACTGTCCCTCCTCACCAATACTGCCATAGCCATGGCCAACCCAGGGTGTCCTCCTCCAATCTGCGCACTGCAGCTAAGGCGATGTTTTAAAAATGCTCACGTCATCCCGTCACTCCCCAGCTTAACACTTGGTGGGTTTCCATGGGGGATGAAGTCCAACACCCCCACGTGACTGCTGAGACCCTCCCCGATCTCCGCAGTCTCTCTCCAGTCACTGCTCACCTGTAGATCAGTGTCTCCGCTTTCACTGGCTGGGCTCCCGTGATGCCGTCCAGTGCTTCAAGCTCCTGGAGCTGGAACCCTTGCCTGGACCCTCCCCGCCTGGGTGGTTCAGTTGGTTGGAGCACCAAAAGGTTATGGGTCCAATCCCCAGTCGGGGTGATGGCTGGAGGCAACTGATCAATCTCTCTCTTTCTCTCCCCCACCCCCACCTCTCTCTCTAAGAAATCAATAAGCATATCCTCAGGTGAGGATTAAGAATAAAACAAAACCTGCCTGAATCCACTCTTCAGTGGCTAAGTAACTTCAGCCTCAGAGTCACTTTCTCTGGAGCCTCTATCAGCCACCCCCCCCCACCTGCATTCCAGAGCCCCAGTGCATTCTCTTTTGAGAATGCCCTGCATTTTTTTTAAATGTGTTTTTTACTGGGACTTAGCTAAATGCTTGGCATTTAGCTTTATCTACTGAATGATGGAATAACAATCTTTTCCCCTTTCTTTCTCAAACACACACATCTTGGGGAATAAATAAGTTAAAGTATATGTACAAGTAATATCTCTCTACCTAACATCTGGTGTTAAGACCTCTTTCACATTTTATCCTGCAGATACTCTTCTGGTTTTATGGTATGTTACAGTGTAGGGTTTTTCTTAGAGGTTGGATGAGGAGTGAGGGTGAGAGAATGAAACCTTTTCTCCCATTTTCATCTCCACCCTTGAAGTATACACGTGTCGGGTATGTGGTGTGCGTGCATGGGGAGCCCCTGCTTGGAACAAATCAGGAATTCTTTATTACCAGAACTTTTAACTGACCAAAGTCAGAGGTACACATTTTTTAAAAAACCAGAGTGGAGCTGTTTTAAGTTTAGTCTTTGACTTAAACAAAGTATCTTAAACCTAAATGATTTGGCCCTTAAAGATTTAATCTTTTCTAGGAGTCTTTCCAAAGTCATGTTAGCCAAAATATGTTTGAAAATATCTTAAGGACTCAAAGGAAAGTGAACGTGAATCTGACTTGAAAAGAAATATCCAGCAGCTAAAAAACTCAATTTTGACTTAATATAAGTGGTATTCATTCAAAGCACAGTTAGGGCTTTGTAAGAAAGTAAAGACAGATGCAGACCCCCAAGGACTTTTCAAAAAAATGTGAAAAATGTGAAAAACATCTAGTCATAACTCTATATCAAACAACAACAAAAAATCACAATTTATTTGACACCAGAGATTCAACAAATCGACTCTTGTCATCTTTCCCAGAACGTGGTACTGTGGGGTAGAAGAGAAGTATTCATTCCATGTTTTCTTTTCCCGTGGAATGAGTTCTTTCCACCGTCCTGACAGCTTTGGGTTGGAAGCTTCCCAGGGCACTTCCAACAAAACTGGGTTATTCTAAGCAATCTTGGCAGCTTTCTGGAACTAAGCTCCTGTGCTACCGTATTTATCCAAATTTAATCCTCTGACCGGAAGTGGGAGCATGTTATGGAACAGAGAGGTCAGGCTGACGCACAGCGAGATTTGAATCCTGCCCTTAGCACCAACCAACGAAATGATCTTTGATCCAGCGATTTCACTGGAACCAAATTTCCTCATCTGGAGTATGGAGGTAATGTTACCTATGGTAAGTGCTGCCTGACCCATGGTAAATGTTTAATAAATTATAGCTGAGTGTTACAAAGTAACATATATTTCTCAAGCACAGTAATCCAAATGTTTTGGGATATTTGATTCTGACCAGGACTCACATAAATCAGGGAATCATTCATAAGTAGGCGGCATCTACTGTAGAGGATTCAAGAAAGTTTATACACTTCTCTCCCACTTTCATTGAATTGATCCATTCTTTGTGGTCTGGGGTCTGTGTCCATCTTCCCCCAGGAAAGTGTGAGCCCCATGAGGGCATTTACATCTGTCTGGTTTAGCGTCAGATTCTGAGCACTTAGAACAGTGCCTGACACCTCCCAGAACTCAGGAAATAGTTTCTTGGCCTCTGCAGGGTTCAGGGATCACCTCAGAAGTCAACTCCTAGTCACGTGTGCCTTCACTCACTCAACTTTTAAAGGTGATTCCACTCAGTGCTGGAAGGAGGGTACCGATGGAGTGTGAAAGTACCTGAGATCCCTCTTTACCCATCCCAACCCCTTCCTACTTTCATTTCTTCATCTTACACAGCTGTCTGTCATTTCCACTGAACTCTTGAACATGCCTTAAATAAGTTATTTTGCCCTCTGGTTTCCTTCATTCCTGTTTGGAAATTTCCAGCCCCAAATGCACCTGTTTGCCTCCTTTCTCCTGTCACCCAGGGACGCTGAACCCTGCTAAGGGATCCCTGTGGCCGGCCGGGCAGGTGCCGTGAGTTTGCGGTCACTTGTGCCTGGCAAGGCCGAACACGTTTCATTAGAAAACTCACTTTCTGCCTCTTCTCAAATCTCCGATCTCCACCTCTCTCACTTTCAGCCAATAAAATTACCACCTTATGGATTGAGAAATTTGAACCCTAGGATTGCCTTAACTCCCTCTTGTCACATCTCTGATTTCCCTGATCTCACAGTTATGGTGGCGACAGTGTCTCCTCTTGACCAAGGCCAGCGCTTCTCTGCCCTACATCTTGTGCTTACTGCCTTTCTCGGGGGCCCTACGATTTCAGTTATTGCCTTGGCACCCTTCTCAATGGGACCCTTTCCACAACCTCCATACAAGGAGATCCCACCTTGATCCCCTCCAGCCACTTTCCTTTCTCTTCACCTTCACAGCCAGACCCCTGAGGGAGTCTGTCTCCACCTTCAATGTCTTCCCACGCCCACCGTTCACCCATGGTGCCATTCCCATCGCCTTGGTCGTTGATGTTTGTGTCCCGCAGCAGGCTGTGAGCTCGGCAGGGATGATGTCGGCTTCCTCACCGGTGCTTCCCGAGCCCCCAGCATAGCTCCTACTACGTGGCACGGTCTCTGCAGCACTCCAGTGAGACGGTGGTGCCTGGGCATTGGGCCTACTGTGGGTCTAACATCAGGCCTGGGGAGCTGGCTCAGTGAACTCCAGAGATGAAAGGGACCTTAGTGGCGATTATGCTTGAGCCCCTCCTTTTAATGAATGAGGAGGCTGAAAATCATAGAGGACAGGTGTCTGGTCCAGAGAGTCAAACCGGTGAGTGGCAGCCTGAGTCTTCAACTCCAGCCTCCGGCTTCCCCATGTGGGGCGGACGCCCTGCTCAGGTGTGGCTAGTGGTGCTCAGTAGACGGAAGGGCCCGCTTGGCTTAATGCGCCCGGTGGCTGCTTCAGAAAAGATGGATCTGCTGTCCACTTTTTATCCCCTTGGGTACTAGACTAACAAGTTTTCTGAAGTTTCGATTCAAGACAAAGAAAATTCTTTTCTGGAGGGATGTACTGAGAGTGGTTGAAATTTCACACTAATTTCAGATGGTTAGGGCATTGGCTGTTAAAATATTGCCTCGGGATATTTAGAAAGGGGGGCTCTGAACGAAGGTGGTCAAGGAGCACCCCTGTGCTTGAAGGTGGACTCTGACCACCCCCAGGATGGGGCCAAGGAGATAGATGGTTCTCCAGAGTCTCCCATGCTGCGATGCTTTCCTCTTTGGCCTTGGCAAGCCTGGCCACTAGATGGCAGGCTTCAGCCGTGCTACTACTGTCTTCCTTTCACCGGTGAAAAGCATTTCCAGTGAGGACCAACTGGGTAAAATAATTGCACACTTGTACTTAC